CAAGAAATGTGACTATATTAACCTTATTTAACACCAAATATCCCAAGAAATGTGACTATATTAACCTTATTTAACACCAAATATACCAAGAAATGTGAATATATTAACCTTATTTAACACCAAATATCCCAAGAAATGTGACTATATTAACCTTATTTAACACCAAATATGGTTAATATAGTCACATTTCTTGGTCATTTAACACCAAATATCCCAAGAAATGTGACTATATTAACCTCATTTAACACCAAATATACCAAAAATATCTATTTGAACTTACGCTTGAATTATTTTCTTCCTTGGGTTTGAGTTCTTTGTGAACAAACATGATTCCACTTTCTAGACACCTCTGTGCTAATACCCGTGCCACATTTTCTGCAGCACTGACGTCAGTTGTACTAGAAATTAACACGCACAATGCCATGTATATCACTGTATGCACTTGTTGTTTTAACTTGAAAACTTAATTAGAAATAATGCATTATCGTTAGAATACGTGTTATAAAAATCACCTTCCACCTACTATGTTTTACTTTATCAAATTAAATCTAGCCCTGTAACACGTAATAATAATAAAAAAAATGGTCTAGTTTGTTTTTGCCTTAGTTCTTTTGGCTATAACAAATTCAAAGGAATGATATTAAAAATAAGAAATATAACATTTTATACCTCTATTGTTATCACATTAACTCTGTCAGATTTCATAAAACCAAACTGGTAGGTAATATAAGATCTACCCAATAAAACTTAAGCTACACGTAGGTTGTTGCACATGTTTTAGATGATACACATTAGAAATTTGTGTGTTAAAGAAAAGTGGTTAATAAAAACCAAGCACTTGTACAAATCCTCAGTTTAATGAAGATGCTGATACATCAAAAACAAATGAGTGTGTAGGGGCAAGGGGGCATAAATAAACTAAGCACTATCAAGTTAGTTTTTACTCTAAATTTGTGTGTTAAAGTGGTTAATAAAAACCAAGCACTTGTACAAATGCTCAGTTTAATGAAGATGCTGATACATCATAAACAAATGAGTGTGTAGGGGCAGGGGGCATAAATAAACTAAGCACTATCAAGTTAGTTTTTACTCTAAATTTGTGTGCGAGTTATGATCACGATTACCATAAAATGCACAAGTCTCTAAAAAATAAAAAACAGTACTCGTAAAACAGAATGTAGAAAACAGCTTTGTGGCTATTGTTTTAACTCTGCAACAGAACGGTGTGACGTTGCACCAGATCAAGTTAACTATTGTAATACCGAGTAATTAGTTTTACCCCAGTAACACTCCATTTGAAATTCTGTGAGGTGTATAAAATATAATGTATTAGCACAAGAGATGCTTTAGACCAATTAATAGGAGTTTCTCCATTGTATAAGTATTTTACACCCCCAAGTGGTTGTATATTTTGAATTATCAAAGCCAAAATTTATACCACCCAGAGTTGAGATAGGATTACTGTTACGTGGCAGCAGATATTAATTTTTTATTGATCATTTTTTTAAATTTGGACTACCTTTTTGTGTGAAACGGCCTGGTGCAGTGTCACTTTAGAAATGTTGTCCAGTCTCCAAAAATCATTGGAAAAATTGTGATTTTGACCAAGTTTCACAATTTCATCTCAAGCACTGGTTGGGCCGATGGAACTATTTTCGCTGTTGTAGACTGCATATCACGTACTTCTACTTCAGCAGTTTAACACCAGGAGCAGACGCACACTCATAGAATGACCAACAAAAATCTGTTATGTCTAAGTGCAAGCATGCGTGTCTAATGACAAATTGCACGAGAAACTTCCTCACGAAAGTATGGTATGAAATGCAAACGCAATATATATATATATATTTAGCAACTTTACTTGTAGCTCACCTGTAAAGCTGTTTCTTTATATTCCATTCTCTGGTTGAAACTGATACAACGACTTTGCCGGTGTTGTGAATCACCTTAGCAGTCGTGTGACGACTAGATTTTTCTAGGAGGACTCTAAAAATAATAGTAAAAAAGACTATTAATTAACTAATTTTTTTTGTTGAACTAAATTTACAAGAAAGAAAGATTGTTTCAGCTCTTTTCACGTGTGAAGAAAATACAAAGCCACTTTAGATTTGTCTACTTACAAAGTTGAAATCCTTACATAATTTAAGTTTCTATGTACAAACACAATAAATCCCATAATACACAGAAGTTCCAGAAACGTTTGAATTTAACTACAATAAACAGAAAGATGCATCACATTATATTGTAGTTACAACACACTGAAACTATGTAAGCTTTTAGGACTAATGACATCAACAAAATAGTAAAAAAATATATAAGATGAAATGAAAATAACAACTCTGAGCTAATTATTTATATGTTTTAATTAATATGAAGTTCAGATATTGAAATGGAATTTCAAAAGTACCTCAAATACTTTATATTAGGGCCTCCCCCCCAACTTTTCTTAATGACCTTGACCCTTTCTCACAGTCATCTTTCTTGAAATACAATCGCAAGGTTAATCATAACACACTTAAATAAGAAATTTTTTTATCTAGAGTAGTCAAAGGCCCTAAGAAACAGTGTGAGAAAAGTTACTCTTTCATTAGTGGAACATCTATTTGAACATTAATAAACTCACTTGTGCCAGTAGGTTATTGAGGGCCATTCTAAAGCGAATCCCTGAGGCTTTTTGGCCAAGAACATCTGTTCCAGATTACGAGGATTTCTGTTAATAAATTCTAAGCTAAATTCATCATTGTCACTCAGTTTTTCTGTTGGTATTTCAGTACCAGTAAGTGTTGATAGTTGAAAACCCTTGGCTGTTCCAATAGTTGTTCCTGTGAAATAATAAAACAATTCAACAGTGTTAAGGTACTTTCATAGCCACAGTTACCAGCATCATGCTATAGAATATAAAAAAAGGAAATTCCTTGTATTAATATAACATCAGTAATATTAGTGACAAACACAAAGACTGTTGATTACCTTACATAAACAGTTTATCTTAAAAAGGTATTTTTAATCTCCCTTCCAAGATTCTAGAAAAATATAAAAACAACATGATATGGATACCTATTGAGGTTGTTTAACCACCAAACATGATCTTAAACAAACATATAAAATTAGTGCTATATATTCTTCAAATACCTATACCAGTTCACCACGATGAGTAAAGAGCAACTCAACCACCGTATTCATGAGGTGTTATTGGGTTTATGGCCAAAAATATAGTTAATAGCGAGGGTACCCAAAAGGACAAATAAGAGCAATCCAAGCATTCTAGGTTTTAGTTCTTTGTGCATTGGTTTCTGTTTAGTTGATGAAAATACAGAATTAATTTTATTAACTTATACATTATATTTTAGTTCTGATCTATATCTGGCTTCCTTTTGTTCACAAGCTATGCAGAAAAACAAACTTCAATCATATCATCTCTATTTCTGCAAAATAAGAAAGAGTTTGGATTTTACACGAAGCGTATAGAACTTGCATCAATCGATGCTGGCTTGTGAAAAAGAAAACTAAGTCTATAATGAGAGAATCAAATAAATATCCATATCAATCCAGTGGAGGCAAACACGGATCTACTAAAAACGCTGTTCCTGAAATAAGCCTACTTTAACAGGCACTTTATTAATAATAATAATACTCCTGTGAGATGTTTCAATGGAATACAGTAGAAAACGTGTAATAAATGTATTGGAGAAAATAAAGAATTTATTATGAGCATGATCTCTTAATAAATATACAAATATTTAATAGTATCATCATGAGCTGACACTGTGATGGTACTTGGCATACATTTAACACAGAGGGAGTGAACTTACAGGACTTCAACTCTCAGTTTACAGTATAATATTTCCCAAATCATGACAGTTTACTTAGTTAGCTCAATGTTGATGAGCTACACAATTAACCAAAATTTTAAGGCTTGACAAACATTCTAGCACATTTATTTCTCAGTTCCTTTGCTGAACTGAAAAGACAAGATTAAGACATTTAAAATTTATGATTAAATAAAAGTGTGTTCACATATTATTAGTAGTATTTGCGTACAAGATATAGATTGTTATTCCTTGACATTGGTTAACAGATGTGATGTAGTTTTTATTTCTTAATCAATTGACTAAGGTATACTGCAAATTAATAAGTTTTAAATAAATAATATGGCTTTGTACAGCTACTGCAAAGGCTAGGACGTACTAAAAGTTAGGACCTTGAATTACTAAAAATACTGTAAATAAAAGAGTCCTATCTAAACAGAAAAAGCCCAAAAGAGTCCTATTTAAACAGAAAAGGCCCGGATGTTACGATCAGGTTTTCAAGTTATATGTTCTTTTAACACATTTAACAAACTTCTGAATAATATTTTATTTGTTATTGACAATAAACAAACCACCAGTTCTTAGGGTCATCCAGTTTTCTCACAAGTTAGCAATGAAGACAGTTTTGGTTTGGAAGAATACTTTTTGAAATCTACAAAGAGTGTTGTGTACAATTTGTTTGGAAGAAATGTTTTTGGAATATGCAATATGGATGTTGATTTGTAATTTGCTAGAAACAGATAAGCCTCCTGGGCCTGATAATTTTACCCTAGTTTTAAAAAGACTAGATCTCTGAGAAGCTTGCTTTCATTTTTTTGGACAAGGGTGAAATGTTAATTAATGACAGCATGAATTATTTATATATATATAAAATGTTATTGAACATTCTGACTAATGTGGAATATTCTAGAATATGTTACAATATTCCATAATGTTCTAGAATATTCCATAATAATAAGAATATGCAGATATAATGCAAGCTACAAGGTAATCACCCTGAGCAACCCCTAAATGTTATTCAATATGGATAATATTTAGTGTGAATTACTTATTTATAAATTGGAACAAAATGAGAGGGTGAGTGTGTTGTAAATCAAAACTTCAAAAATAAGGGTCACCCTAATGTCTACTCTTACATTTACTGAATAGTAATGCATGCTATTAAAATAGGCCACACTTCAAAGCGATTAATATGATTATCTGTATGTCTTGATAATACAGACAAATTAGTTCTTTATAAATGTGTTTGGATTAAGAAAGTTTCCCTGTATTTTTGGTATTGCGGATATTTTGAAGGAGAGCAAGTCAGGAAATTGACTAAAAATAGGGTGAACACACCAGCAGTGTAGAGACATACTTTTAATGTAGGGTTAACAATTACAGCAATCCATGAGTTAAGGGTTGATGAATATTCGGGGATCAAGGTTTGATTTAGTGATTATTTTTCACTTTTTTGAGGGAGGGTGGGAGTCGGGACATCCAGGAATGGCCAAAATTGACAAAAGTTGCTTTATGTCCCATAACTTATACACTAATACAAGAACAATATAATGAACTCTCTATAAGCCTGTCGTAATAACAAAATTTAAGGACAACAAGAGAACTGTTGGTCCACCTAGACCATCCTACCTACTAGATTAAACCTTAAAAACACTAAAATCCAGCCCTTAATATCCAAATATTTATCAAACCTTTCCTTACACTCCCTTACATTTACTGTATCGTATCACCACACCATTCCAAAGTCCATCCACCCTGTTACAGAAATAAAACTGTCTTAGATAAAGATGTCTCCTACCCTACAAAACTTTACATTTGTGTCTACTAGTCCTACCATTCTCCACCATTAAGCACAAACGACGATGGTGCATCAACATTACCAATTTTTAAACACAATAAGATCCCCTCTAACTCATCTTTTTTTCATAAGAAAACAGTTTCCAATAATTTAAACTTTCCTCCCGTGTGCTATTGCTAGTGGTAGAGCAAATAAGACTGAAGGTCTTACCTATGGAAATATTGAATACAGATGAAATAATTTCGTTATATAGTTCACTGTTTATGCCACATTTGGAGTACTATGTTCAGCTGTGGGCTCCTTACCTTAGGAAGGACATTGAATTGTTGGAAAGGGTTCAGAAGAAGACAACTAGGATGATACCTGGGATAGAAAGGTTGTCATAACTTGGGCAGCTTAAGAGATTGATCAACTAGTGCACCAAGATCCTTTTCTTTCATAACACTGTTAAAATTCTTTCCATTGAAATTATACTTATAATTCAAATGATGATATCCCACATGTATTATCTTGCATTTATAATAATTGAAAGACATTGACCTGCCCTTTACTCATCCAACTCACCAAAAAATACAAATCTTTTTGTAAATCAGCAGCATCCTCCTCACAGCTATCAACACCCGACACTTTGATGTATCACCAATAATTTATTGACCATTCCTTCATCTATGTCACTGATGTAAATCTAAAAGAACAAAGGGTCCTAACACTGAGCCCTGAGGTAACCCACTTCCATCCAGCCACATTTCTACCCAATGATCCAATTTATCCCCCACACCTACAGAGAATGTTTTAACCGGCTTTTATGAAAATCCAGATTATATTAAATACACATCTAAACCCTCATCTACATAAGCAGTAACCTTTTCAAAAAATGTCAAATGATTAGCAAGGCAAGATTTTTTTTCCAAAGTGAAGTCATGTTATCCAGCAAAATTTTAAACTTTGTTAAATTACTTTGCAAAGCATCTTTTATCATACTTTCCCACAACTGATGTAAGACTAATGGGCCTATAATTACTGATGTAAGACTAATGGGCCTATAATTACTGATGTAAGACTAATGGGCCTATAATTACTGATGTAAGACTAATGGGCCTATAATTACTGATGTAAGACTAATGGGCCTATAATCACTGTGACAATTTTTATCACCACCTTTGAAAATAGGAGAAACACTAGCTAACTTCCAATCCCCTGGTTCCTGCCCACTATTCAAGGACTTGCAAAAAATAGCAGCATGTGGCTCACATGTCCAATCTTTAATCTCTTTTAATTTTCAAAACCGTTGGAGAAATATTATCTTACCAAGAAACTTCATCGTTCTTTAAACTCCCCAATTTTTTCCTAACAAGCTCAGGTATGATGTGATCATATTGTTCCATCCTGTTTTCCATCTAGCAAACTGTTCAGGATGAGGAATATTACTTAAATTTTCAGTAGTAAAAATTTAATAAAAAGCACGAATTAATAAACAATAAATAAATAATGTCATAAATTTCACATATAAGCCTCCCTAGGTTCTTGTATGACTATAAGTATAACTATATTCTCCCAAAGGCCTTAATCCTACCCTAAAATTTTCATTTGGTTTACCCTTAATATATCAAGAATCCTTACTGTTATTAATATTACTAATTCTTACATTTTCAGCGAACCTTTTTCATGTACCCTTTTCGACTTCCTTATTTTCTGTTTGATCAATTCTCTTGATCTTCTGCAACTATAAACTGTAATCCTACGTTCTAAGTCTCCCGTCACAGCAGTGTTAGCAGTCAATTTAAACTTCTTAAATTTATATTTTTATTCAATTTTATTCTTCATACCCTATATGAACCAACCTGAATTTGTACTTGCAACAACCTTTTTTTGTAATAATTATATTATTTTTAATATTAATAATTGATATATATTACATAACTACAAAATTAAGCCTAGTACTAGTAAAATTAATACTTTCCTAAAATAAATTTTATTATTACTCTTATTTTAATCTCATTACTTGATCACCTTTCCCTATGGATAAAACATTCCTCCACAGCCCAACAAAAGAAAATCTGCTTCCAAAACTTTCTAACAATAACATTGTTCTTCCACTCAAATATCCGTAGCAAGAGACCATTTTAGAAAAGTTATTGCGGCCTCTACTTTTTTATTTAAGACTATTCTAATATTTCAGATTGAAATAAGCAGATAAATAAATAATAATAATTATAATTATAATTGAAAAGTATTTTGTTTAACATAAATTAAAAGTCTATGACACTTGAATAGTGAAATGTTAACATTGATAGCAGCAGTCATCATTTATTTTTTATTCTAAATTGTTGTAGAATAGAATGCTAAAATTATAAAGCGGGTTAACCAACGATTTACCAAACTGAAACTAATAATTATTTCTTAAATTTTATTCCGAAGTTACACTGTTTTCTTTGGAGTGGGGCAGGGGTAAAAATCGTTGACTATATAGTTCTATATATATGTCCTTCCACCAAGAGTTGTCTCTTATATATTTACTGGCACTTTAAAATCAGTTTACGTAAAGTTTCCAGGTAACATGAAACATCAAACTGCACTGACGATACCTTGATTTTTAGCAAATCCATTATGGGTTCATAGCTATAAAGGAACTTTAGTCAGAAAATTATAATAATGTGTCTAAAATACACGCACAAAACTAACTTATATGTTTCATTGTAATCTCAAGTCTAAAATGAATTCATCTGTTACTAACTGTGATAATTTATTCCAAAAAATGTTCATTTGAAGACTTCTTATAAATATCTCTTGACTTTTCTGATAAATATTTACCTCGACCAAATAGGTTTCTTCAACAGTGTTTTTCGTGAGAGAAAAGGTAACTTGATTAGCTTTTTCCTTCTTTTTTTTAAAGTTCGTAGCTAAAAATCCACAAGGGACCTGCTAATAATAACGCGTTAGTTACAAAATGTGTTGTTAAGAAAACTTACCAGAAAAATATTTACAGCTGAAAATTTTTTTCAATTATTCTAAATTGCAAATAAAACTAAAAAAATATCCATATGTGTATGTACATTTTCCCAAATATAAGAAATTTTATAAATATTCAAAACTTCTGAAAACTCCCATCTTTCATTTTTAATTTTTTTCTTTCTTTCAATCCTTCGTCACACATTATGTAACAGTGACTGCTTTTTTTATACAACTTTATGCCTCTCCTCCCTATTTTTATTCTATTTGTTGAATGGCTTTGCAAAGCATCTTATATCATACTTTCCAAAACTATTCCCACAACCGATGTAAGACTAATGGGCCTATAATTACTGGGACAAATTTTATGACCTCCTTGAAAAGAGGAGTGACATTAGCTAACTTCCAATCCCCTGGTACCTGCCCACTATTCAAGGACTTACAAAAAATAGTAGCAAGTGACTCACATATCCAATCCTTAACCTTCTTCAAAACTCTTAGGGAAATGTTATTTGGCCCAGGAGCCTTATCGTTCATTAAACGTCCCAATTTTTTCTTAAAAACTCAGAATTAATGCAGTTGTCTTGTTTGACCTTGTTTCCATCTATCAACTGTTCAAGATATGGAATACTGCTTAAATTTTCGTTACTAAAAACTGAATAAAAAGCAAAATTTAGTAACCCAGCCATCATCAGATACGAACCTTCCGTTATCATCCCTCAAGGGTCCTACCCCAATCCTAAAATTTTGTTTGCTCTTAAGGTATTTAAAGAAATCCTTACTGTTAATTTTGACATTTTCAGCCACCTTTTTCTCACACATCCTTTTGATATCATAATTTCCTGTTTCACCAACTTTCTTGATCTTCTATAAATCTTCTAAATCTCCCGTCATACCAGTCAATTTAAATTTCTTAAATTTATAATGCTTTTCTTTAATTTTATCTCTTATACTCTTTGTTAGCCAACCTGTTTTTTTTATTTGCAGCTACCCTATTCATTCTATAAGGAATATGTTTGCTTTAAATATTTAAAAAATTATCTTTACAACTTTTCCACATCTGATAAGTGTCGCCAAAAACTCAGCTGTCCAATTCACAACAGATAAATCTTGTCGCATCCCTTCAATATTTGTTTTTGGAAATTTGCAACGAAAATATCATTATTCCTTATCTCCATAAACATTAAACCTAATAGAACAATGATCGCTTGCACCCAGATGTTCCCCAGTTTCCACCCTCTCAATCATTTCTAAACAGTAAACCTAAAATAGCGTTGTTTCTAGTAGGTTTCTTGACAAATTGGTGAAGAATGCCATCTTAAACACTTTCCAAAAATCTTTCTACCTCATGGTTTGACTCTAACATTTCCTAATCTATATGCCTGAATTATCTCTAAAGGTGTGGGGGATAATTTAGCAAGTTCGATAGAAGAGTGGCTGAAAAGGGTTGTTACAAATGGAGTTCAATCAAACTGGATTAACGTTACATGTGGGGTACCTCAGGGCTCAGTCTTAAGACCTTTGCTTTTTTAGATTTACATCAATGATCATTTAGTAAGTTGGGCAAATAAATGGCAAATGGGTCTTTATTATAATAAGTGTAATTTAGATGCGAATAACCTTAACATTATCAAGAAAAAGGGGAATCTTGGTGTAATAGTTGATCAATCTCTTAAGCCATCCAAGCAGTGTGCTGTTGCTAGCGGTATGGGAAACAGGATTTTAGGTTGTACCTACAGAACTATTGAATGCAAGTCTAAAGAGGTTGTAATTTCATTGTACAGGTCACTGGTTAGTCCACATTTCGAATATTGTGTTCAGTCTTGGGTTCCTTACTTTGGGAAAGACATTGAATTGTTGGAAAGGGTTCAGAAAAGGGTTATTAGAATGGTGCCTGGAATGGAGGGGTTGTCATATGAGAAGAGGCTGAAATCTCTCAAATTGTTTTCTCTTGAAAAATGACGAATTAGAGGGGATCTAATTAAGGTGTTTAAGGTTGTAAATGGAATTGATAGTGTTAATGCATCATATTTTTTCATATTTAACAGTGAGAATAGTAAAACTAGGGGACACAAATATAAATTTTGGCAGAGTAAGAGCCATCTTCAGCTCAGACAGTTTTATTTTTCTAACAGGGAAGTTGGCCTTTGGAATGGGTTGCTTTCGAATGTTGTGGAGGCAGTAAACTTAAGTGAGTGAGAAAGCATGATAAGTATATGAATGACAAGGGTTGGCTTTAAGGTTTTTATTTATTGATAATTTTTAGTTTAGTATAGAGGATGGGACAGCCGAGATGGGCCAATAGGTCTCATGTTATCCCAAAATATAATGTTATGTTGTGACTGTAGTACTAATGAACCCAAATTATTAAATTGCTCATTAGTCTATTTTAATGCCCCCTAGTGGCTCAGCGGTAAATGTGAAGGCTTATAACCTACAAACCATTTTTAGATACTCATGATGGACGCAGCACAGATGGACCAGTGTGTAACTTTTAATCAAATAAAACGCACATATGGTATTTAAATTTCTATTTCATGATTAGCCATATTTTTATCATATAATAGCTTTCTTAATCTTTCTCTCTCCGTTCCACAAATCAACAAAAGATATACCGCTCAGTATATTAAAGTACATATATATATATATATTTATTTAACTTCATGAATAAAAACTTGGGATGCTGTAGTTCAATACATGTATATCACGTTGTCGTAACTGTCATAACTGGTTTATCAGTTTGTTTGTTCTTGCTGTGACTAATATATCTAGTTTGTCAGCTTTAGGCGTTCAACTCAACACTAACTCTAACGACAAGTTATGTTTTTTGAAACAACGATTTTTTTCTATCACATGAATAAATTTGGCACGACTCCACTAACTTTATTTTAATTCACTAAAATAACTTACGCTGTTATGTGCGTTTTTCACTACTCACGAAACGTTTCAGGCAAAAGCTGGTGGTTCGATTCAAATAGGTTACGTAAATTTATGACTAAAAATCACCGACATAAATAATTAATTAAAAATAAAATAAGAACAATGGATTCCATGTAAAGATTCAATAACCTTCCTTCCCAGCATAGTTTGAAATCATTCCTGTTTTTCTGAAGTGTGGAATCAGACTGATTTTATTGGTTGAGTATCTTAACGAGCTTTTTTTTTATGTGTACTGAAGTAAATACTAACACATAAGTAGAATAAAATATGCATAATAAATATCACAAATCAAGTCATTCACAAACTAATTATAACAAGAAAAATTAGTAAGAATCACATGATATACATTAATAAAAACTTTCAAGTGAAAGTACAGAAAATGTTAATTACTCTATATCTTCAGGCCATCTGGGATACAATAATATATAAATATAAATAGCTGAGAGGCGCTATTTAGATCAGAAAACCGCTTAACATCTGTTACGGTTTTAACTGAATAAGTTGGTGAAGTGTAGTTTTTCATCTATTTTATTCATATCACAACAAATCAAAATTTTAATAAGTATTTTAGCCAAAAGTTATGTCATTTGTCTTCCAAAATATCATTGCATTAAAATTAACAGAAAAAAAAAATGATGAGCTCATGCTTCTGTACATTCTAATATCACCTTTTAATGAAAGCTCAATTGCGAACACAGTTGTTTCGTAAAGGTTTTTAAACGCTGATCACTTTATAATTATAATTTATTTGGAAAATATTTCGCAATTCATTTTAGTATCTTTGCTTCTCAAGAAGAAAAGCCTTCGAAATTTCGATCTTCTGAGGCGTTTTCAGTACCTTAAACACAATGTTGTAATCCTCTGTGCTATTGTTTCTCCCCATTATATTCTAGCATATTTTATTACGCGGTATAATTATTGTCAAAATATTACCGAACGTTTTCCGACTTAAAAAATTTATATTACTTAAAATTAAATATAAAATTCAATTGTTGGTAACTACTTTTAAAAGAGATTTGTTTATATTGCCCTCTATGTGCTAACGTCATTAAAGAATTTTTTTTTAAGTTTCCTTTACCGTGATTGGTAGATTCTGTGTAGGAGCGTCCAATCACTAGACGGCGGGGTTTTCAACGGCTGGATGACTTCTAAAGGAAGTGTCTGATGATATCGCTGTGTGAGATTTATATTTTGTAGTGTTCTGTATTCTATAATATTCCAAGTAACGTTTTGATAGATAACATCAAGTGAATTGTATGGTATTGGTAAGCAACGGTTTTTGTGAACAGTCTGTATTTAAGTCATCTTTTTGTACTATTATTATTAATGTTATTTACATTTAGATTCCAACATCTATATATTCAGCATAATACTTGAACTTGAAAAATTTGACTGTTTAAGTTAATTTGTATTTATAATTTTTATTCTAAATTTTATAATTTGCAACACTGACGGTACAATTATAATATAAATGAATAAGTAACTGAAGTTTGGCTTACAAGTTACAAGGCTACGTTATGTTAGGCGAGTTTTATGCTTAAGATTTTAAAAAACCAAGTCCTTAAGTTATATTGCCATTACTACTAGTTTTACTAGTACTACTGCAGAAAGATTGACTCGTTCAGTGATTGAGGCTTTCTAACATAAATGTGTGAAATTTAAAGCTAAAATTACTTTCGAAGTGGCATGAAACAATTTAAAGATCACTCACTGATCAGTGTATATTAATAATATTAGGCGTAAGTCAACATTTTTTAAAGTTTTGAACACTAATTAATGCTATTAGTATTAATCATAGGAGTAACTTAGTAATAGTATGGCCTAACGCTGTTACAACACTAACAGTAGAACACAATAGCATGGAGGTCCCATATGTTAAGAGTTTAAAAATTAAACATTAAGGTGGGCCTTCATTGGTTGTTGTTTTGTAAAGGATAAAATTAAAATTTGTAAAAACTAAGTTCTGCTAACATTTCCCAAGATAGTTTTTGAAGTATTGGCTATTGCTAGCTTAGCGCTTAGAGTTAAACTTTGTAGTATATTAACTATTATTATAAATTTACAATAACCATTTATGGTTTATATAACACTTCTCAATTTTATGCAGTTCTAACTTCTAGTTTTCATTCTTGTTTTGTTTTTCCCTGAGCAAAATTTTTTATTTATGAAAAAAAATCTATGTAAAAAGAAACATACAGGTTAGAACACTTCATTAACTTAAATTTTGTTTTTTCAGCAAAATGAAAAAATATTTTATTAATTTTTAGGCTCATTAATTTCTGAAATCAAAATTAAAGTATTTTAATGTTCTTAACTGTTTTTGATTCCTATTTTCTGTTTGAATGTAAGCCCTGAGTAATTTTTGTTTGTTTTCAGAAAAATATGAAAATACTTGCATAGTATGTAGTATTTTTGGAGAGAGAGAAAACCAAAGTGGATTTGTCTCTTATTTATGTTGATAAATAAACATTAATAAAATTAAATAAGCTATCATATTGTTTAAGTTTTAGTTTAAACCTTCCTACTTTAAAGTTATACTGTAACTTCTTACAAACGTTATGTATTTAAGTGTCTTGAGAACTAGAGAGTGTTAATACTGTTCTTTAAAATCTTTTGTAGTTATTTTCAAACTTAGAAATACAAGTACAATGGTTCTATTTCTAAACATATTAATATAATATTGTCCAATTCAAAATATTTGTTTCAGCACAAGAAAGAAATGTCAAGGCTTCATTGTTTTACCTAGTTTGAAGAGTTTCATTTCTGTAACCGTGTCCTATAGTTATTTTGACGTCTTATTGCAATTGTTGAACTCACTATAAAAATGGAAGACTGTCACTTAGACGTTCACCGTTCACAGAAGAAACTCGTGGACAAACTGAGAAATAGTGACCCAGAGAAGTTTGCGACTTTATGTCGAATGCATTTGTGTTTTACACTGGACTTGAGTCATGAAGAGTTTTCTGCATTGTTGGAGCCCAAAAAAAGTGAAACTAAATCCAGGAAAGGGTTTGGTGGTTTTGGAAAGAAAACAAGACCAGGTGAGAAGTTACTGTGGCTATTAGTTAGACTTTACACAAGGTAAATGATAATAGAGAAAGTAGAATTTGTTTGAACAGTTTACTTAAAATATTGTATAATGTTAATTCCAGCATATTTTTCTATCTTGGTTAATTGTTACTTCTTTATAGTATTTGATAAATTGTAAATCTTAACACCTGTTGTACTAAATCAATTTAAACTGGTTATTCTCTAAAGCTTTGAATCAATTTAAATCTGATTATCTTTTCTGTAGTGTAGGGTCAATCTTAATTCTGGCTGAATCATTATAGTTATTCTTTCTTTTGTTAGGTCAATTTTAGCCCTTGCCTTCTACTGTATGGACAGTTCAGTTTTAACACGGGTCTTCTCTAGTATTTGAATCAATAACTGTAGTTATTAGATTAAACTGGCTCTCCTAATTTTAGTCCTTGCCTTCTACTGTATGGACAGTTCAGTTTTAACACGGGTCTTCTCTAGTATTTGAATCAATAACTGTATTTATTAGATTAAACTGGCTCTCCTCTTTATTCTTAGATTGTTTTAACTCCTGATGTTCTCTATACAAATGGATCAATTTTAATATTGGCTGCCTTTTGCTGTGTTTGTTAATTTTAACTTTGGTTTGGTTTTATACCAACATGCTGATTTTATCTATTGACTTTCTTCTCAAAGGGGTTTGATAACTTTTGGTTATCCTATCAGTAGTGTTGAATTTAAACTAATTATGAAAGATCTGTTGGGCTGTGACTTATGTGAGATAAAAAATATATTGGAAATGTTGTTTTTATAAATCTGTGATGGGCAAATTAAGAGAAATGTAAAAAATTCATTTAAATTTAATGTGATTTTTATCACAAGTTTTAGGTCTATTGGTAATTATCTTCTGCAATATGGGATCAGTATGATTATCCCCTCTTTCTCTGGATATGATCAATATAGAGTCATTATTTTCTCTTTAGTGTAGGACCAATAGAGTGTTTTCTCTATCTCTAGTGTAAAATAAATTCAAATTAATTATATTTTATTGATGGATCAGTGCTAACTCTGCCTTTTAAATAGATCAACTTTAGGTTGTCCTGTTTTTATATTGTTACTTCAATTATTGTTTACAGTATATTTACAGCTTTTACAGTAAGCAATATTAGTTTTTAGAACAGGTACGACGTTTCTATCACTAGTGCGATCATTATTCCTAAACCTTGTGTACTTGATAATGATCGCACCAGTGATCAAAACGTCGTACCTGTTTTAAAAAACTAATCTTACTTACTGTAAAAGCTGTATACTGTAATAAAATATACTTTATCAGTAAGTAAACTCAATACACAACTATTGGCTGCAGTGTTGAATCAATTTTAATCGTTTATCCCACCCCTAATGTTCTACCTGACCAATTTTAATTGGTTTTGCCCTTTCTATAAGTTCTAATGCAATGTAACTTTCACCTGTTATGCCACAGTCGCCGACCGTTGTCTGCTCGCGCACTTCTGAAAGTTGTCTAGCTTAAAGTGACCCCAACCCAGTAGTTTCCATTTTCATTATATAACTGGAGTAAGTGACATTGGAAAAAAAACAACAAAATTTGGCCTTATTTTACATTAAGTGTATATCTACAACAATCCTAGTTAAATATGGATTACGTAGCTAATTTTTTTTCTCCCACACATTGTTCGTTTTAACGGCAGCCGTTAGGGGATTGACGTGCTTAGCTATATTAAAATTGGATTATTATATGCAATATATTTACGTTTAATGATAACAGGAAAACGTGTACAGTTTTTAAATCTTTTATCCGTTCTTTCATTGTTCTATCCTTTGAATATTTTCCATCAACAGATGCGCAGTAAAATCAGTTACACTTTTGATGTACAGTTATTATGTATAACCAAAGTTTCTAATATTATTCATGCTTCTCAGATTTTGTGACTGATTGAAAACTACAGATAAGGAATATATTAACTTTACCAGCTGCATTCAGGTAATGCCGTGTTAGATTAGATTTTAACAACCGGTATTCAACGGGAGGATTATATGGATCACACCAGCAGCTGGCAACGTGTTTTTTATCACGTGTTATGAATATCGATAAAACTACGTGTCGGTGTTCATAATCCGGTAACAGGCTTCACAGTTAGGCCTATATGAATAGCATTTAGAATAGTCAATCCTTGTACACAGAAAACGTTGAATTGTGATTTGTGTGTGTGTGTGTGTGTACACATATCGGGCAGAGAAATAGCTCGAGTAGGAAACCGGGTCAAGTGTAGGGTGGGGTGATATGGGTGTGTCATTACCTCTGTGACATGTTATGAAAACAAAGAAATATGACTCCAGAAAAGTATACCTCGAATATAATAAGGAATTAGTTCAACATGAGAAGGATATGTATGGCTTGATCACGTTTTTTAAAGTCGATTACATTCTGTTTGAGTGTGATGAAACACGGTAATAATTAGCCATGTAATTTGGTTAAAGCTTGTTTATTGCAAGTCACAGGCAATACAATTTGTAATTATTTAGTGATAATGGGTCATCGCCAATTCCTTGTTGTTTAGAAACCCAGCGCAAGATGGCGATGATGTACTATGTTCGTTGATTGAAAGTAGCGTTCAGTCAACAAGTTTGATTGTTTCAAAAAATATATAAAATACGTGTGAAGAACCTGTATAAATTCAATTGTCTCCTGTTGCACGAGATTCATTGTTCTTTTCAACTTTCCTTATCCCAGCTGAATCATTGAATGTTGCGACTTTTAGTTGTGTGTGTTTTTTATTACGAGTTTTAAACAAGCCACATAATTACAGACGCTTCAAATGTGACGTATGGGCTTTTCGAATAACAACTGGCCAATCCATGTGTGAGGTGTACATTACTTACCCAATCATGTTGCAGCGTAAGGCCTCAAATGACGTGGCTTTGTTTACAGTGTTCACAGAAGTAGATTCACCCCCCCCAGTTTAGTTTTAAAATCATTAGTTTGAATATTGTACTTATCACTTTTACATTATGGGTCAGTGAATTGAGAGGTTCAAGTACGGTAAAGTTAAAAAAATTGTCTGGTACGATACGGTATATAATAACTGTAAACTACAGCGTTCTGTATTTTTATTTAAACTTCCTATAATGATAGGGACGTATCTACGTTGGAAGTTGTATAATAAAATATTTCTTAAGGAGAAAAATTCGTACGTTCGCCATTTTTCCCAAACAAATTAGATACGGGTTTCGACCCAGTCGCCGAACGATTCCTGCTTATCAACAGTTCACTGAAAACTGATGATGGAAACTCGTTTAAGAAAAAAAAGTACTAGTGGGATTTAGACATTTTGGCAATAAAGTTACAAAAAAAGCGGCATTTATTCTCCATATAGTCATAAAAAAACTTGTTTCAGCCAATGTTTCGCCGTTGCGGAATTACCACGGATGATAGTACAAGAACTATTAGCTCTAATGAAGCCGTAATGATTGAAATAAGTTTTTCTTATTATTATCTGGAGAATAAAAATAGTTTGTATCCTAACGTAATTGCCAAAATGGACATTATTTGGACGTCTTAAATTCGGTTAGGTTGTTTATATTAAGGAAATTTCCTGGGGTTAAATAAATTTTATCACTATATGTAAAAAATCATGCAAGTCACCTCAAGCTTTATATCTACTTATTTGGGAACTAGCATGGACAATTATTAACAAATGTATTAATATTTATTTATTAATGGGTAGCATCTCTTGTCGGGCCGCGCTGATACGATATTCCATGCACGCTGACGGAGTCCTTGTAGCCATTGTTGCAGAGGTATAAAACTGCTGTCTGTCATCCAGAAAAAAAACAACAGAAGTTTTTGATATTGTACTAGCGAACTGGTGGAGAAATAAAGAATCGGTAATAATTGGTATGAATAAATAAATTACAAGTTATTGTATAAATAGTGGGACTGGCTCCTACGCATTCACACACACGTCTATTTTGTAGTTTTGTGTACGAGTTTGAAGAGTTTAAGAGCTCCAGACAGTACTTTTTGCTGTTAGACGTTGTAGATGCGTTCCATCTTGTTCCCTCGGGGTCGGGCGAGGCTCAAATGTCTGCGGGCCTCTGACCATTTTTGATAGCTATCGAAGATGTAGGCTTATTAAAGACTTGAGTATTTTCGACCAATAGGAAATTCGCCTCTGACATCCTGATGTACAGTTTTCCCATATTTTTTACTTGTATATAACACAAATGTACACTACAGTCGACTTTATATAAATGTGTTGTTCTTTTTTTTATTTTTACTTCAGCAAGGTTTAAAAAAAAGACATACAGTTGGTTCATTATATAAAATAAGTCGAAACTCCAAACGACAGCTGACAAAAGATGGCCGTTATAGAATATGAAGAAGCACGTTTATATGTTGCCCGTTTATAAGGTATAGAAATATATCGTAGTGGCACCCTCTAGTGTATTGTTCAGAACGTCGGTAATTTTCTGTCAACAATAAAGTCACAGGTCAGATGTTATCTTTATTATTGATGTTATTCATGTCGATATTATTAGCCTGTTGTTGACAGGTGGTACAAGTCATAACATTTCTTTTAATTAGTGTTAAATACCGCCACCATACGACTCGTGCTTGAAACACGACGTACGTGAAGATAACAAGGTTTTTAATCGTTTAGATAATTGATACGTTTAAATAGATAAAGTTTTTTTTTCTGTATCTAAAAACAAGGTATTAGATTTGTAACAATAAAAATGCTTAAGTCTTCGGTCACACCGTCGGATGTTTTTTTTTTGCTCACCTTGTAGTGGGGTGGAAACCAACTTATTGGTTTGAAAAAAAGCTCAACTTGAATGTAAGAACTGTGTCAATTGAAGAGCTTCATGATATACTTATTGAGGTTTACATCTTTATCAAAGTTTCAAGCGGGTGCCTTATGTCTGTCTATCTACATATAATATTGATGATGATGTGTGTTTAGCAGTCTTGTGTAACCTTCGTATTAACGTGCCTCTGTTTCTGAGGGCCTGAAACTACATCAATAGCTTCGTATGTGTGGGTGTGACCTCTTCTGATAGTTGGTGGTGTTCACATATATATATATTCCTTACTCCGTGTCATGGATCGTACGTGATGCACGAGAACAGGTGTATTCCTTTCATTCATAAAGCTACAGAATTTAAGTTAATGTTACGTCACCTAGAACTCTAAAGTGTGTGGGGGGGGTGCATTCTCATAGTTGATGTGACTTCGACTGGCACGTAGTTATACGTGGTTTGGTATGGTAAAAATAACTGTTTATTTTTTCAATTCAAAGTGTTATATAAATGGGTCCCTTCATCGAGGAATGGTTTTGTGGTTAGGGGGCGCTTGACTCGCCATCTGAGGGTAGCGGGTTTGAATTCCCGCCACCGAACATACGCGCCCTTTCAGCCGTGGGGGCTTTATAATGTGACGGTCAATCCCACTATCCGTTGGTAAAAGAGTAGCCCAAGAGTTGGCGGTGTTGACTAGCTGCCTTCCTTCTAGTATATCACTGCTAAATTTGGGACGGCTAGCGCAGATAGCCCTTGTGTAACTTTGCGCGAAATTCCAAACAGACTAAATCCTCGAGGTATTTTGTGTATGAAATGAATTATGACCCAATAACCAGTGGTTTTGGAAAAAAAAAATAGTAACAATTTCATTGTCACTGCTTTATAAAGTTCTATACTTTAAAAACTAACCGAATTTGTTAATATAAGTAGATCACAAACGTTTAATACGAAGTATCGGATTGGACAGCTCTGAACCAATCATAGTGGACGTTAATGTAATCAGAAAGGTTCATCATTCTGACCGAATATTTATGCAATACCCTTCCGCACATTACAGGTAATAAAAAAATTTCAATATATATAAAATTTGATTTGTTTGGTGGGGGCTGTTGTTTTATTGAAATGATTCTAGCGTGAATAAAAAATATAACTATCACTCGCGGGACTACATTTTAAAACGCTGTTTTAACGACAGTTTATAAACTTTACCATCTGTATATCAATAAGGGTAATAAAACAAGCTTTGAAATCCAAGTATGCGGGTGCTTTCTGAGCCTTAATTGTATGTTACCAAAATTATATACCCAAGTAGTAACTTTAAAATTTAGGTTTACGAGCTCGTGGTAGTTATAAATCCAAAAGCAGCTTGTTTTTTTTTTTTTTGTTGTTGTTGTTTTTTTTTCAATGCAAGTAACTGACATAGATTGCTCATCAAATCTCAAAGTTTAGTTAGTAAATATCAGTTTCACGTTTGAGCAGTTGTCTTGAGTTTAATAATAGGTTAACTCATTTGAGTCCTTATGTTATGAAAACGTATGCGTTGTTATCGAGGGCAGCAGACACGTCAGTGTTTTGTTCGCGGGCTGGATTCTGTGAAAAAAGGGCAGGCGACTGCAGCTGGTTTTATTAGCAATGAACTGACGGAATAAGGGCTCCTGCTGATACGGCTCCGCCCTACAAAACAGATGGGGGCGCTCGTGACAGTCAGCTGCATATTCTTTTCGCTTTGCTACCCACGTGCACACTCTGTGTTGATGGTTTATTGTTGTAGCTAACTGCTATTTTATAACTTCAGCAGGCCGCTGCTTCCAAAGGAGCTAGCTCGTTGTGTTTTAAAGCATGACCGAAGTAGTAACAAAGCTTTGTTGTCAAGCCTTACAACGTCACAATATATGTTAAAATATAACACCACACTTGAACTTCTGTGTCATGCGTATACAGTGGTGGAAGAAATCACTTTCAAAGTACCCTTCCTTTTAATATATATACAATTAATTTCAATAACAATCAAAATAACCAGTTAGGACTATTTCTTTTCATAGATTTTTTGTTTTTTACAACAGTTTAACGTGTTGGGCTTAGTGTTCATGTAAACTGAAACGTTGTTTGCCAATATCATAAATAATATTCAACGTTAAAATTGGTACACAATTAAAAATATTTTATTTAGGCCTATTTATTGTCTATCCTGAGGATGACGTTGCAACGTCGAAACATATAGTCGTCAACTTTTTGAAGGCCATAGATAGGCCTAATAAAATGTTTTTAATTGTGTACCAAGTTTAACGTTGAATATCATTTATGATTTTAACTTTATACATAAGTGCCAAAACATAATAATTATGTTGTTTGCCAATCATTGGTTACAAACTCCTTTTTTTCCCCTCATGTTACAGTAGTGGAATTAAATAAAAAAGATTGTCTTTGTAAAGACAACAAATTCCTTAGGTTAAGGAGTTATCTCTGAAAATTAAGAACTTGGGATCAAACTATATATATATTAGTAACTAAATTAGCATAGTCAAACCTGTGTAACAGATTGGTCAAATATACTTAACATTGAATCATTAGTTTGAACTATTCGTACAGTTAACAAAATCTTTGTCATAGTGCCAATCTTAGAAACTTTACTCTGCTTGTTTTGTTAACTTTAACTGATAGGTATGCAAGGTTTATCTGCTCATAACCGTCACTAATTTTAAACTGAAAGATTAGAAGGAGAACAACTAGTCAACATCACCCACCACTAGCTGTGGAAACAATGGGATTTGATTGTCACACTTATAACAGGTCCCAAGGTGAGGAACACGTTTTTGAGGTCACGATATGCAAACCTTGAATCTTTGGATTCACAGCCCGGGCATGTTAAATGATTGGCTACACCCAACCGTTGATCAGCTCGGGAGATTTAGGTTAATTTTTAAATCGCACATGTAGACAACGTTAGAAAATGTTCGTAAGTGTGATGTTACATGCAGTTATATGTTAAAGAAGTATTTCAATTGTAATGAATAACACTTAATGAAATGAACTGTGAAAAAAACTGGATTAAACTATTAGTTACCAATACACTAGTGGTTGCTATGTAGACCTACAAAGGTATCATTACACGAACCTACCAATACAAATTGGACAACGTGCCAAAAAATGACAAAGTCATAAAACAGTTACACGCTGACCATATACTTGGAGAATTTATTGACCTTTGTCGTGAATCTACTAGCTTTACTCTTAAATTATTTGTAGATTCCTTCAATTGAAAGGAAAATAAGAAAAGTGATTTCTTGATGGTTAAAGATAAAGAAAGAACAATTTAAAAAATATTTGAAGTAATTTTACAAAAGTATCTTTCTGTTGGAATCGCAGAGTGTTTCGTTTTCTTTTGTTTGTCTTCATTTTTAGTATTTTAGTTGTCTAAACAACATTATGAAGTTTTTATCTCTTAATATGGTAATTCATAACTGTCGTATTTTACCAAGTTTGCATCTTCTAGCTAAAGGTATCATGGATGGACTTCCACTGACTCAGGAAGCAATTTGTCAAGTGTTTCAACTTATCAAGTACTTGTCGAAAGATTTCAGTAAGTTACGATCACTCAATATCTTTGTTTCATTTCATCGTGTCTAAATAAATGAAGAAACCTTGTATTTATAATAGAATCATCACGAGTTGTTGGTCTTACTTGGCTGACTTGTCTCTGAAATTCATGAAATAACATTTCAGTTTATATATAAGTCTTTACCTGGAAGATACTTCCACAAGGTCAAAAAAGGTCATCAAACTTTATTTAACCATAAGGAACTAAAAACACTCAACAATATTAACTCTTATTTTACATTTTATCATCTGTCTGACTTACTACCAGAAACAATTTATAAACTAATAATATTTATATACTATTTTATACAGGTTTAACTCTTATTTCACATTTTACCATCTGTCTGGCTTACTACCAGAAACAATTTATAAACAAATAATTCTAAATCAAAGAAAACTATTTTTGAAAATATCAAAGGAAGTATAGATCAAAGTAGGGATAGTTGCTCACGTGAGGTGTAGAATTCCAGAGTCATTTGCTGGAATCCCATTGGCTGATAACTTGCAATAATTTTTATTTTTTTTTCACAAATCAAATTTAATTCTTTTTAAACCTGAAATACACAGGAATAAAAGATATTGGTAGCTTAGAAGATGATATCCAGAAAATGATGAATTTTAGCTGACAATTGACTCCCAAAGGGTTATTGTTTATTGTACACACCACACAAACTCCATAATTAAATGAAAGATTTCTCCAGTTTAGGAAAGATGATAAATTATTATTATTTTTTTACCGAACCAAACCTGGTACTAATTAGATGACTTTTTTAAGAATGATTAGTAGACGTAAGTTTTGTAGATTTGCATCTCTCTTTTTTCAGATATTAGTCAGGAAGGCCTGTTTCGAAAAACAGGAAGTGTGACACGACAGCAAGAGCTGAAGACATTACTGAACGTGGGAGCAATCATCGACTTAGATGCTGGCCATTACAGTTCTCATGACTGTGCAAGTGTTTTGAAAAACTTTCTTGCAGAAATGCCAGAACCACTGCTAATGGAATCTCACTTCACAGTACACTGTCAAGTACCTAGTAAGCTACATAATGAGATACTGCACGGTTAAACTAAAAGAAGTGAATGTGAGGCATAATAAAACAATAGTATATGAACCTTACAAAGCCAATATAGACTTTAAGGAGGAATTCAAATGTGTCTAATATATATATAAATCTTAAATTTGGAGATAAAATAGTTTTCAGGATATATTGATTAGCTGTGCTCTTGTTTTTCCGCTGTTGTGATCAATAGAAAATTCAAAGTTTTTAAATATTTTGTATAATAATTTACTTACTTTTTATATCTGCACTATTGGATTTTGTTCCGTATTCAGGACTATACCAAGAAGATCTTCCTCCGAGCCTAAGAGAGAAAGTTTTGAAGCGGCAGCTGAAGACGGTGCAGCTTTTAATTCTTCTCCTGCCGATCGAAAATCAATTTTTATTAAAAGACATTCTTATGTTACTGCACAAAGTGACCAAGGCTCGTCAGATGAACAAGATGGATTCAGTTAGTCTAGCAACTCTGTTTGCTCCACACTTACTGTGTCCAAGAAAGGTAAAAAAAACAACAACCTTAGAATATGTGAAAGATAGTATGTAGGAATATGGTCCGAATGTCATTCATCACCACCATATTTCTAAATCCTGCCCATGAAATGATTTTTTTTCTTCTAAGTGATGTTTGTGTGTTACTAGTTGTCTTTATCTGTTGTTATAACAATGGGTTGGGGTGCCATTAAACATTTTTCTTTGTGGATTCATCAAATACTTTGTTTGTTTTTGTGTCGCTTTCGAAATAACCTGAAGAGTCATTAGCCTACTCAACATTAACACAGAATCATTTTGAGGTCTCCAGATGGTAACCATCTAAAGCTTATTCGTATATAGTAACTACTTGTGATACATGTCATGACTTTGAAGGTTGTTTTTCCAGAAGAAGAGAATTATATATAAAAACAAATTCTAGAGATCTAAGGTTTGAACAAAAGTGACCACCGGCCAAATTTATAGAAGAATTATTGTAAAAACAAGTTTGTGTATTCCCAAATGTCTTTTGTCACACCTGCTCATGTCGGTCACAATGGATTTACGTAATACCACTCTTTATCAATAATCTTAATTTTGAATGAAGGAAAAGGGTGTTAATAGAGCTTTATATATATATATATATATAACACACTTCATTCATACTAATGTTATTTTTTTGTTTCTTTTTCTACCTTTTATAAGGTCCCTGATTCAGATGATACCAGCATACCTGCTGTCATTAATTCAGGAATAGTCAAAGATATGTAATGACTTTTCAGAAATGTTGTTTCAAGTTAGAATATATATAGAGTAATTCGTAAGACTAGTCACCATAAAAGATCAGAAAGAGTGTTATGATGCTGTAAATGTTGCTACAATGTACCTTTTGTAGATGAGTGCCATGGAGTTGCAGGCAGACTTTGAAAACGTGGTGAAAGTGGTGTCCTTTATGATTGACCATGTTCATGACTTGTTTAAAGCACCAGCCGAACTTGTGCAAGACATAAAGATGCATTTTAAAGAGCAAGAGGCTGTCGTTTCTCCCCTGACTGATGCTGCTCAGAAGGTTAGTGCTGTAAAAATATATACTCTGTTCTGGGCAGTAAGTAGGACAGCTATGTCTAATTTATAACGAGAAGTGAGAGCAAGATGTATTTGAAAGTGTACATAAAAAAATTATCAATAAGTTTGTTAATGTGTTTTTTAACTAGCAGCCTTTCAGTAGAAAGAAAATTGTTTTTACATATTATTTTAAAAACTGAGTTTTTTAGCAATAGGGATTCAGTGAGATCAAACTGGATTTACTAGAAGGACTGTTACTAAATGAATCGGGCAACCAATGGATTATGTGCTGTTTTATGCCCAAATGTAATTGTTGACATGATTTATTTCGCTTCGTCTACTGTTACATTTGCACTGGTGTAATTGTAATAATGGTAACTGTTCTTTAACATTAGCCAAGTTATTGAGAATATCATCTATATATATAAGTATATGAGAAAAAACAGACTGTAGATTTTTTTTTCTTCTATGGCCTTCTTACATTGTTCAGAGACAGTTGAAAATAGCATTTCAGATCTATCTTTTGTCTCTCACAAGTCATTGCACAAGAGGTCTTTTGTTCAATACCAGAACTCTCCAGTTGGAGAGAATATGCAGAATAGTACTTTCAAAGTTATTTATTAAAAGCTGGCAAAGCATTGGAAACCAAAAAGGCCTAAAATGAGTGATAAAAGTCATGTAAACTGCAGATGTTCTTTTTTTAACATTTCTCTTAATTAAAATAAGTGGTTTTCAACCTTTTTATTGCTATAGGAAGTAAAGGTGAGTTACCATACCTTTCGTAATACCAGGAATTTTAATTTTTGATACTGGGTGTCATTAGTTTGTGATTTATTAATGCAAATTAAAATGTTTGAAACTGTTAACTTGCAACTTAGTTTGGTAATGATTAATTATGACGATTAAAATTAAAGTCAGTGGTTGAAACATCGCGTCTGTAATTTCAGAGCGACGCCATTCACACCGCTATAACCTTCTGTGACCGAGGAAAGAAAGGAGGGAAGAATTCTGCAGACTATACCTCGCATCAGTTAGCCGAGCTTTATGCGTACGTACAATGCATGCCTGATTCTTCACAGAAGAAGAGGTTTCTTAAGCAGGTATCTTGTGTCAGTTTATAACGAGGGATAGAGAATGGAAGTTTTTGTAATTTCTGTGATTTCAGACGGAATTGTATTATCATACCATGATTTGGGAAGGGGGGTCCTGTTCTTATTTCTCAGGGGATAGAATTAAGAACGGGGTTTTTTAACTTGTTATAGCACATTTATTCTGTATTCAGGTTCTCCAAAAAGGCTAAAAAAAGTAAGAATTTATTTAGCTTTTACATAAATAACCAATATTGTTCAGCCTATACAAAGTAAAAAAAAACACCTAGTCTTTATAAAAGAGCAAGAATTTGTTACAGAGTAACAAAAAATTAAAGGTTTTGCATGGTAATATCACCTTTTAAGCTTTCATACTGTATGTTTTTTCATGAAAAGTAACTTAAATAGCTTGTTTTCAGTTTTTACTCTTACCCTGTTGATGTACCTTTCTTATTAATTTCTGATCAAAGCAAGATATGCACTTAGATTGACACTAAAAGTCAACCTGGAAATCAGTATAGCTAATTAAATGTACATTACTACATGTACAGATTAGAATTAGTTGTTTCATCAGTTGGGCATCCTTGCTGTTAACAATGTTTTTGGCCATAATCCCAATAACACCCCACGAGGTTTGACTAGCTTGGATGATTTAGGCTAGTGCTAAGTATTTCTATATTGAGTTAATAATGCAAAACAAACTTTATGATGAAAGTGTAATAATAAACAACAAAGCAAAATAAAAAGTAATGATGTTAGATATACTAAATAGTATATCAATATTGTGAACAGAAAGTAACGATAGATAAATATGATATTCATTACCTAGGAAAAAAGAATTATGTATTATAGTACATGGTCTGTTATCATACCAAGGATTAGATTTTGTGAATTTGTATCTGACTCGTTATATATATCTTGAAGTAATTCCTTTCTTTTTACCCGAATAATTTCTCTGGTTTTACTCTCTTAACTATGTGCAGTTCAATAAAGAAAATGGGTTTGGCACACCAAAAATCAACAAAGTGAGAAATCATAAAAGAAGTAGATCAGTAGGGGATTCCATTAAGGTAAGCAGATTGTCAATAACATCGTTCACTTCGTTATGTCTTTCTTTCCACGTTTAATATTTATAGCGAACTAAATATCCAATTAACTTGGTTTTTTGGTTGTTGTTGTTGAGAAATATGAAACGTTGAAGAAATATTCCTATTTCTTGATTATTCTTGTGGGAAAAATTTTAATTGTTTTGTTTTGTGTACTTAAAGTAGTTTAAAACAAATCTTTAGTTTCTGTAGTTTTGGGAACATCACATTGTTTTTATTTTTTTTATTTCTAAACACTCGTCTGGTTTTTCTTGCAGAGACATTTCTTAAGAGCCTCTTTCAAAAAGAAAATTACCCTAGGAGAAATTCAACGTAGTTCTAGTCTGGACATTCTCGAGGTAAACTGAAGAATCATTTCATTTCTTAACTAATACTGGCTAATATAAATAAAATAGTGACCTATATCTTCAGAATGTAATTTTATTTGCTCAATATTTTGCTGTTACAGCTTTGTCAGGAGCTATACTGACAACCGACAACTGTAATTAAATTACAACACCATCATCAGTTAATCGAACATCAATACATTTGTCTGAAAGGTTCAGATGAAATTGGAAATAATATCAAACATTCTTGAACTTAAATCATTGAAACAAATCATGGTGAATAACGTGAAAACCAACAGGTGAAGTATTATATATATATATATAAAAAACACATTTTCATACTTGTATCTATAAGTATTTTTATAGATATCTATGTTATTTCAACTTATCAATACAAACACAGTGTAAAAACATATATTTTAACCATTATACAAGTGTGTAGAGACATGTTAAAATCTTAAGAATGTAGTTAACATCTCTACATGAGAGGCCAACCTTTATATTTATTCGTTTTTCATTTAATTTTCTTTATTAGGATGGATTCTTCAATCTTTAACCCTTGAAAACTGACATTTAGATGAGATCTCGACGTTCGATAAGATGTTATCTGCTTGCGGTATCCATGTTCATTTCTTGAATGCGCAGCAATAGGCACGTGTATGAATATTCTATTAACTGATAATAGTGATTCCAATTTATTTTCAACTGGATTAGTGAATGTGGAGATTAGCTATAGTTCCTAATGAAGACAGTAAAGGTACATTCTGGAAATGTTTAATAATGAACTCCAGTTTCATTAAACAAAGTCCAGAACAATATTGTTAGTTCGATGACAAGGAACCCACTTTGAGACTAATAGTGGCTGGAAACGGCTTGAATGGGTAATGAAGAATAACCTGATGATGACAAAACCTTGTTGAAACGTTGTACATTTGCTGTTATATCAAAGTTTTTCTTCATTATCCATTCAAGCCGTCTCCAGCCATTATTAATATTGTTAGTTAATTGCTGCAGTATGTACTGCAACATCAATGGACGATCTAGGCCTTGATGAACAAGGCATCTGCATAAGGCCCACCCAAAAGAACCACATGGTTTGCACCAGCTGATTACCGATAATTACTTCTACCTCTACGTGGTGTAAACATTAGTAATGTTGAAGAATCAGGTGTTGTATCTACTATGGTGTGACTTGTAGTATTGATTGAATGATGGTTATTAAGAACTGGTTGTATTACTGTTATAATACCTAATGTAAAAATCGTAAATAATAATGCCCATATGTGTAAATTTTTAATTTATATCGTGTACATACCTGAAACAAGAGAAGAGTCAACGTCATTAAAAGACACAACAGAGCACGTGCTAGTTAGGCATGGGGGTTTTGTAAAATACCGCTTGCATATACACGAGTCCAACCACCTCGTACATAGGGCCCAAAATCACTACGAGCTGCCACTGATCAACACGTATCTATCTAGCTACAGTGCCCATCCTGAGGGCATAAATCGTAGTTACACTTTCTGTTAGAAATGATAATTCGATTGATGGAAAGTTTTGTATAAACTCCAATGTTTTCTTTTTTGGAATACTTAAAACAAACCTTAAACGTAGAAATCGAACACAAGAATAATAGCTTTAGTCGTCTTTAGATATGAATATTGTGAGCTTATAAAAAATGTGCTTCTCCTCTAAATATTGTAGATCTTGAATTTATGAAATCTCGATTGTTACGAAGAGGAAAGCATCGTACTAAAGTTCTATCTGTTGGTCATATTTATGGACATTAATTTTTCTTTCGAGATATCTTTCAATGCTCTTATAGAATTTACTATATATATTTTGAACACTGGTGAATTATGAGGTTTTTCTATTAAATTGTAGATGTTATATTTGTATAAATAATTTATCTTCTTACTTCACTGCATTAGAACGAAAAAAAGGATTTGTTTGATACAGAGAATGCACCAACGAGCAATATGGATGATGCTCGTAACATCAAGGACAAGTTAGGAGATAAACGGAAGTTTCAAGAAAAAAAGACTGTAGGAAACAGTCCACCTGTTATTGTGCCAAAACTCATGAGAACGGGTACTCCTTTAAGTAGGACCGTCTTAAGAGCTTCTAAACGTATGAAGGTAAAGTTATCCTTTTAACGCAAAATAAAACAACAACGAGTATCATAGTTTTATTAAAACAAGTGTTTTAATATAATAGTACTAAAACACTATGTTTAATTGCTTTTACCATCAATGCTGATTCACATACATACACACACACACACACGTGTGTGTGTGTGTGTGTGTGTGTGTGTGTGTGCAAATCAGGTTTTTTTTTTCCTTAACAATTGTCTACAAACAATTTTTAAAAGGTCTGTTTTAAGGGGAGCAATGGTCAGTCATAATATACTCATTGTATTATATTTTTGGGAAGTTCTGTATAGTTAGTAAAATGCACAAGGTCATGAAATGTTTCTTTAGTTACGTTTATGAATAATAGAGGTAAGTGTCTATTTGTAAAGTTTTCTTCCCTTAAAATCAAATGTAAAAGCAGCTTATGGTCATTAAGGAATGAAACAGATAAAGCCTTATTTACTCGTGATGTTTGGATAAGCGATCAGGCTCGTTTATTCACTGGTTGAAAGGCAGTAGTTAATTATTATTATCATTCAAAAATTTGTGCCTAAGTACAAAAAAAAAAGTTTATCAATTTGTAGATTTCATACATCTAATAAAAGGTATAACTATGACTAATGAAGAACTAAAACATGCAAGATAACTTAGAAGTTGTACAACTACACAAGAAGGTGGTCTTGAAAACTTGGATCTTTCATAATGGTAAATATTGACTGAATTAAACGTTACTTATATACAGTAATATTTCTTTAGCTTCTGTATAATTTTCAAACACTTTGTATTGATTAAGAATATCTTGTGTGTACACTCCAGTAGCACGAGATCACAATCCTGATGCTTATTTTTCATAAAGGGTAGCTCAGAGGTGTCACTTGTTTTAGATGAAATATAGAAAACCTTGGTTATCCTTTACCTTTAACTGTTTTGAGCACTATAGTTGGAAGATTTAAACAACTAAGAAATAATTCATGTGACCGATGCTCTTATCCTTACTAATTTTGTTAATTTTCATTGCTTAATTTGTATATTAACATTTAAAATTTTGATAAAAAGATCGTGTTTTTTTTTTAAATAATTGTTGCACGTGAGTTTGAAGATAATAGAGAGAAGATGGTGGTTTGGTTGGTAAAATGAAATTTATGGGAGTATCGTGGTGGACTTTGATTTTCAGATATATTTGTTTTATAAATTTATTCAAATTTAGAATAAGTCTAAGAATAATTATTTACAAAGTTGTTGCATAAAAACACAGTTATCATTTAAAATGTGACATTTTGTGCTTCTAATTTATTTCCCTAAACTGGTTAAAGTTCTGGTTTGTCTACAGGAGGTCTAGTCTGTTTTAGGATTTTCAATATGTCACTGAGTGTAAACTGGTTCTAGGGAATTCCTCCTTTCATCAGTAACCCTGAACAGGAGTAAACCAAAAAACGAGACTGGATCTCTTGTAGTTTTAAACTTTAGTTTGTGCACATGATGTTTGAAATGCCGGTTACTGTGTAATAATTCAGTGTATCATATTTTATTTGTTGTGCAGGCTGCAGTCATGATACCGAGAAGCCGAAACTCCGTGGTGCTAACACCTAACTGATCTCAGTTAGTAGAAGGAAAGGTGATTTATGTTAGTTCTAAGAAATTATATTTGTGTATACTACTTTGAAGCGTGACCATACAATGTTATGGACATCAAATCTAAGCGAAAAACAAACATCAAAGAAATGAGCATGCAATTCATTGAATTTCCAGTTGACAGTACATTATAAAATCCAGTTATTGATAATGAACTAAAGTTTGTTACAGCTAAATGCAGAAACTTGAATATTGGAAACAGTTTCCCAGTTAGACCCTGATGAAGAAAGGTCAACTTTTCAAAGATGTTTGAATTATAGGTTGTTGTTTTTTTTTGTCTTAAGTTTATTTTTTGAACTTGCATGTTCTCCTAACAACATGGATGATTATTGGAAGTAGTGTATTTTCTAAAATAGTATTAAAAACAACATTTACAGTACATTTCCAACAGACTTCTAATTCATACACCCCTTCCTATAAAGTTGTATCTTCATATTCGTTTATAGATGTATATGTTTAATAGGTAAAGTTCTGTTAAGCCTTGCGAAACTTGAAAATCTATATTAATCAGGTTTTTATTATAATAAAGTAAAAAGTGATGTACTTGAAAGTAACTTTAAAATATCCCCTTTTTAATGAAGACAAACATTATTGGAAAGAGCCAGAGATTTATCTTCTATTGATAGACTTAAAATAAAAACTGACAAATCGTGGGGGTGTGTAACTTAGAATCAGAATTGCCAGGGTAAAGAAATTTGAAAATCTATTAGTATAATGCTACTAGTAACTCTGAGAATGTTGATTATTTCATTTTTATGTTACACCTTTCTGTACAAGTTATTCTTTCAAATTGATATACATTTGGTATTTGATTGCTTATGTAGTATATTGAAGTATTAGTATTGTACTACTGAAAGGGGTGATCGACAATGTGGTCCAGAAACTTTTAACAGTTCATAGACTGGTCACGATATGCGTAACTTAATTTCGAATTTTATCTTAGTATTAAAGTTATGCAATGTTTATTTGACATTATTTGTAGTGTATGTTAGTAAAAATTAGAATTAAAAATATTTCTTACTGTCTCACCACAACGATATGCAAGAATTAACACGTACAAGCTTCTCGCTACAGTGTTGGATCTGTCCGAGTTGAATTACATCTGTTGTTATTTCCAGCAGAAGTCGAGGTGAATAGACTTAGTCTCAACATTGAATAAGGGAGTTTAATTTGCTAAAATATTTAAATTCATCGTTATCTTAATAGTAAGATACTAACCTTTTTATGGTCTCAAATGACAGACGAGGAATGATATAACAGCATATCATGAAAAATGAAAATATCACTTTGACAACTGTGATAGTTTTATTTCTCAGACATTACTGTTGTTGTTGTAACATTAATCAATTACTAATTATTATTTTTTTGTAAAAAAAATAACATTTTCTGTAGATAAAGTGTAGTTTTTAAATGCAATCCTTGGAGAGTTATATTAGAAGTACTGATCAAATAAACTGGTTTTTATCTTTGTGATGCATATTTCAAAGCATTAAATAATTACTTAGAAATAAGTAAAACTGGAGTCTTCTGTTTTAAACCAACAGGAACTGGGTTCAGTTATTTTATTAACAAGTTTTTAGATTATCTAGCTGTAGGTTTAATGTTTTGTTTTTAATATCTTTGAAAGTTATCGTTTTCCTTTTAACTCAATATCATTTTGTTATTCTTTTTCTCGTGTTTTCATGATTAAATTTTATAAATGACTTGATCTCTACAAATTATACTGTATATAAAGGTTGATTTTTTTTTTTTTTATGTATATGAATTACTTGCTTTTGTGCTTTTGAAATATTTTGTCAATTTCCCACCCTCCTCCCAATGTCTGGAACTCTTCCGACTGGTAGCCCGAGAACAGCCTGATAAATAGTAGTGTGTCAGATTGTGAATGTGAGATTCCATGGTTCAAGTCCCATTAACCAAAAAAAAAACAACTTGCATGCCATACTTTGGGTGCATCAAAGAGTGACTGTCAAACCCCACTAGTCAGTCTGACAATAGTAATCCAAGAGTTGATGGTGGGTGTTGTTGTCTAGCTGGTTTCCCTATAGTCTATCACTCCGAAGTGAATGGTATTCTGTTATTTGTTCCTTGAACAAAAGTTTTGGATACAATTGCTTCCTCTAATCATTCAGAAAACCCGATTATTTAATGAATTTCAAATTATCACGACACGTAAACTGGTAACATCCTCTTCTGCTGTTCGAGTATCCTTTTCATTGGTTTACTTTAATAAAGACTTTACATATAAAAGAATACGAGAAAGTAATAAAGACTTTACATATAAAAGAATACGAGAAAGTAATAAAGACTTTACATATAAAAGAATACGAGAAAGTAATAAAGACTTTACATATAAAAGAATACGAGAAAGTAATAAAGACTTTACATATAAAAGAATACGAGAAAGTAATAAAGACTTTACATATAAAAGAATACGAGAAAGTAAAACATGTCAAACTTTCACAAGGAAGTTTCCTGAAATCAGGGTTGTTATTTTGTAAGCATAGAATTTTCAGGTATGTCATTCTTAATTTCATGATCTCCATTAGATAAGTACATGGACTAAATAAAGAGGAAATATCTTAAGCTTTAATTTAGTTAAAAGTATGATATATTTATGTAGTTCCTTGATATTTCTCAAGACACTTCTAGTTTTGCGGATTTTAAAGTGTTAATTTCAAGGATTGGCTTGTGGGTTCAGGAGTTGTTATGTAAGAAACATGTTTTTAAAGAGTAAATAAAATTAATTTTGTGTAAACCATTAAGAAGTATGTTTTCTACAAACTTCCAACACACGTCAATTTTGACATAGTTTTTATTATGTGTTAAAACATTACAATTACTTGTTCCTCAAACCTCGTACAGTTTTTTTCTAAAGTTAATTTTTGTGTTTTATCATATAATTCTATAGTACCTTATTAACAACTTTGACTTTTGTAATGCCTTTCACACCTCCAACCCTTCAAACACGATTAACCAAAAAAAGCAACCTTAATCGTATATTATGTAAATAATAAGCATTTTTTTAAATATGCAAGTTCTAAACAAGCAGTATGATTGTAAAATGTTATTTATTTTTTTTAAGTTTTGTGCTTTATTATATATTTGTTACCAAGTTGTTTGTTGGATATACTGAATGAGTCACATCAGTGAAAAATTTTTTCCCCTTGATATTTCACTAAAGCATGTTACAATTGTTTTTTTTCTCAAGACAATAAAAGTATTTATGTGTCTTTTCATTTTGTATAAATTTTCAAAAATCATTTATTTAAACAAATATCGCTGCTGGCAAACTCTATAGCAGGGTGGACATGGTGAAGTGGTTAGTGCAAAACAGCATATGGAAAGGACCAAGGTTTGAGCCGCGATATATGAATATATTCCACACTTTCAGCTGTGAGGACAATACAACTGTCGGAACCTATTCCTCTATTCGGTCAAGAGGAGATGCTGATTGGTTGGCATATTTAGATGAAGTTGACATAATTATCTAGTTGATTGATAAAGGTTTCACTTGTTGCCCATGTCAGGCTTGGCTACAGTTGGGTCAACACAAACCCAAGCTTCCAGAATCAAGAAACATGTACAAAACAGCCCTTTCAATGATTGTAGAATTTATAACCATCTAACCAAAGACTAGAAAAAAGCCACACATTGAACATTTTAAAATAATAGACTCAGTTAAAGGTGAAAAAAAACCTGTTTATTCAAAAAATTAAACCAAATCTAAACATCTCAAACTATGACCAAATTATTAGGCCTGAGACAGAGGGGAAAAAAAAAGAGTGAAACTGTGACTGGTTAGCAGCTCCAAGTTAGCGACAACTATAACTAAACCATAAGGTTCTCCGACTTGGCTATTTAGGGTTGTGTATCACATGTACTATTCACATTGAACATTCCAGAAGAAGAAATTTCTTTCCCATTAACCTTAGAATTACACGTGGACCATTTTGACTTTTTAAATACATTTTGCTAAACTATTTGTCCTCATTGGTTCCAAGGCCTTTAATAACCGTGACTCAAATAACTACTGATTACATCAGGAGGCTGCTATGTATTTTATGTGAAAAATATGTTTTGTTAGTCACATTAATGATGAATAGTATAAAAACAAGTCTGTAAATCGAGGGCTAAAAGAAGCATCGAAGAGTGAAAAAGATTAAGGACACGAATATGAAAAGCCATTTCTCGGAAGATCATTGTTTCCAAAGGGATTTGAAAGATGGCACCGGAAGGTTAATATCTGATGATTATGGGATGACTGTGTTATTTAAATATATTTTTACCTCTGTTTTTACTAATGAAGATTTCAGTAATACTCCTCAACCAGAACAGTTTCTAGATGTGAACAAGATGATCACATTAATTTTGGGGCGAATAAATGGCTATCTGTGCTCTGCCCACCACTGATATCAAAACACGATTTATAGCTGTATAAGTCTGTAGACGTGCCACTGGGGGGCGATAAATGGCAGATAGCTATTAATTCTAATAAATGTAAGGTAATACATGCGATTTTTTTGGGCGGTAACCACTCTGCACGATTGTAAGAGTAAATGTTATTGATGAACAAAACACTTTATTTTAATAAAATATACACTACAACTGATGGACATTTTTAAATTCAGCTTTTATTTTCACTAATACATACATATGACAAGAAATACAATATGGTAGATTTTACATGTCTGTACAGCAGCAAATAAACACGTAGTTTAATTACAAGCTTTCACAAATTTTAACCATTAAAGAAGTTTTATTTTAAAACTAATTTACAAACCATACGGGCAAGAAAAAGTCTGGAAATACTAATAATGTAAAAAAAATATAAAATTTAGTATTTTTATTTTTTTGCAAAATGACACATTAAATACGATGTTTCAGAATTGCCAAAAGTTTGTTTAACGTCAATATCTAAGTCAGCCTGATCACAAAAAGACGAGGAGAAACCATTAAACTTGACATAGAATTCCTCGAGAGATGTAGGCCTAGATGACACTGTTCGAGGGTTTAATTACAGCCACACATATTACCAGTTCTTGCACTTATCCGACAGAATCTGATTAAAAATTAATATGCTATTAAAAATATCACGTGGGACCATTCTTTTTACAGAATGTAGGGTTTGTTGGTAACAAAAATATTTTTCCTTCTTATGTCTTTCACTGAAGGATGATTTTTTTTTTTTAAGGAACAGATGAACGCGCATATATGCAGCTTATTATTTTTGCTAAGCCTAACACTGGCTGATATAAGCTTAAAGCTAAATATCAATATATTGGTTTAATAATGAACATGCGACACACGAATTTGTCAATCGTAGAAACAGGTGGTTATAATTTTAGTTAAAATTCTGAAAAATATTCTAATCGTTCCAAAAAATGAAATAACATTCTTTATATGCTTTCTCTATCTTCAAAATATGGCATGCAGCGCCACCATATAGTTCACTTTGGACTACTAAACAATGGGAACTGTTTAAGATCAAGCAAGATTAACTGACTTCAAATATCCATGAATAAGATTAAATAATCACCTAATCTAATTAAAATGTAATAGTTCGATGAGGGTTAGCTAATTTTATCATTAAATAAACATTTTAAATAATTTTCGAACGAACAGCTGATTACTATAGTTTGTTTGATTGTTTTGAATTTCGCGTAAAGCTACACGAGGGCCATCTGCGCTAGCCGTCCCTGATTTAGCAGTGAAAGACTAGAGGGAAGGCAGCTAGTCATCACCACCCACTGCCAACTCTTGGGCTACTCTTTTACCAACGAATAGTGGGATTGACCGTCACATTATAACGCCCCCACGGCTGAAAAGGGGCGAGCATGTTTGGTGGGACGGGGATTCGAACGCGCGAGTCGAGTGCCCTAACTACCTGGCAGTTTGTTTGAAGTTAAGCACAAAGCTACACAATGGGCTTTCTGTGCTCTGCCCACCACGGGTATCAAAACCCGGATTCTAGCGTTGTAAGTTCGCAGACATACCGCTGTGCCACTTGGGGGGGCAGGTTATTATACAAACGTCTTCAAGGCACATTGGAGCATCAGAGCAAAAAATTATCTTTTATAAAATGTTTTAATGTTATTTTTCAGTAAAAGCTAATTGAACACGTGATGACCAATCACATGACATTTAAGGAGAAAATGTGTTATACAAAAATCGTGTTTTGTATTCTCTTAAAAAACAACTTGCAAAAACGATAGTCAGCTTGGAGATTACACAGAATGTCTTAAATGTTAGTATTGTATTAATAATCACTAATGGGCGTCCGCAGGGGGGGGGACAAGAGGAGGCACTTGCTCCCTCTTGGAAACACAATTCTTTCTTTATTCATTCAGCATATGTATTTGAATTGTTTATTCAATTCACAATTTGAAACTACACCCCCCCACCCCCCGGATAAATTTCTGCGGACGCCCACGTGACCAATACCTTAAGAGCTTTTTATCACCATTAAGACTGCCGTAGTAATGTTTAGGTCAAGTAAAAATAGTACCGGAATTAGCATCTGTGAGGCTCCTATCTGCCAGAAAATATGTTCTTTACCGCCATTTTAACCTTTAAAACGTTTTATTCAATTGTCACAAACTTTAGTAGTAAATGAGAAACATGTATTTATATCAAAATATTTCTTTTCTTCACGATTTTAAGTTAAAACATCAATAATCAATCATTCTTTTGAATGAACACGTTCACAAACACTCGGTTTAATTTACAAACCAGTTTTCGACGTTGATTAGAGTAGTAGTGTCAACCTCACGAAGTAAATCGTGAAGAAAAAAAATTCGTATGGATGCGATGAAGACAAAGGTAAACGTTAAAATACTAGCCTAGAGAGTGATTTCGTTTCTAATGACCACAAAGTTGGTTTCTAACTGGGATTTAAGTTAAGACACCATTCCTGCCATTATTTTTACTCGAAGAGATTACTGCTTATGTAGATTAGGGTACGTGTGGTGTACCTGCATGTTCAAAAAGCATTTAATAAGGTGCCACATAAAATTCTCTTTTTTTAAAGAAGTTATCTTTGTAGGTTGTGAGGGACAGAAAACTGGCTGGTTGGATGGCAGATGGTTGTTATAAATGGAGTTCAGTCAAACTAAACTCATGTCACAATAAGATTCACAGTTGAAACAGTATTCATAGACCGTTACCAAGCTACCTAACTCGTATACTACAGGAGTTTACAGGAAACCCACAGATACCAGTAAATACCTGGAATATACATCAAACACTGGAAAGAATGGTTCCATACCCCGCCTAGTTTCAAGAATGAACAATATTTGTAATATTGAAGACAAACATATTGGTACAACACACTCATTGAAATAGATATCCAGGATGCTTCATAAAGAAGAAGCGAATGAAATTAAACTCCAAGAATAAGCAGGAAGAACATTACAGCCCTAGGTCAAAGGTCTCTCTGTAAAGATATGGAGTGTCTGTAAACATCAAGAAGTCAGAAAAGTATGCAGAAGCCACAACACAATACCATCACAAGACTAAACTTCTTAAAGACTTATTGGCGATCATAAACACCACTTACAACATCCTTTGTGAATTTGAACTTTTAACACACTGGATAAACAAAGAACAACAAAGTTGGACATAAAAGACTCAGTAATATACACAGCTATCTGTAATAGTCCATTATACCGGAGAAAACAACCATATGATAAATTAGAATAACACTAAAATAATTGGATATAAACCACACGCACAAGAAAAGGAATGATAAAAGAACAATGCTACATCCATATAACTCAGCCTCTCTATCAAGAAGAACCACGATTGAATCATTTTTCAGGACTTTCCTGAAGATAGCACCTGTATTGTACAATACAAACTAGTTAATAATTAAACTTAAGTGATCACATGGGCTTCTCACCATGACAACAATGCATAGATTGTGTTGGCTGCGTCTGCCTGTCTGTATAGTACCTAAGCTGTAGTCATCTAATAAAATTCATTAGATTAATCTCTTTTTTCAAACAGATTTAAGGAACTCTAAGAAGAAAATATTAATTCCTCGTTAAACAATCTCAAGCCAAGCTTAGAAATAAGATTAATATGGATTGAACCTAACTAGGCTTAGGAGAACTGGATTCGCCTGTAGTTCTCAGTTGGTCGTGGTATGGGATTACTTTCCCAAGTGGAATCTTGGACATTTTTCTTAACCAATTCTCTCTACTTTAGTCTAGTCACACGAGTTAATATTTTCTCTCATAAATAAACTATTAATGTTCTGAAACACTGACTCTTCTTTGCAGGAGAGCTAGATGGTGGTATCTCGGAGTTAAGAAACTAATACGATTTTGATAAGGTGGTATTGAGGCAGGTTTTCCCAGCAGGTTCTCCTTTGGTGGTTAGAAGAATAGGTTCCTTTTGGTGGAAACCAATCAACTCAGCTACAGTTGAGAAAGTCTGAAAAATTATTAATTACTGTTTTCTTCTCAAAATTGTACTTACAATGAAATTATCTTAATTTAAGGACAGATTTTTCATTAAACTTTACAATTTCAATATTTAATTTTTTTATTGAAGTATATTTATCACCCAACAGAAAATAAATAAAGCATTTTTTTTTTAATTTTGAGAAAAAATATTGATAGAGAAACCTTTTTGCAGAACTAAACACATTGACTTTAACCCTCAGCTTGTGAATCAAAATTTTTTTTTTTCATATGGAGATTCTGTTCATCATTGGCCCTTTATTAGTTGGTAAGACATTAAGATTTGATATAATAGAAAAAAAAACAGCTGGAAACTAAACTATAAAAATTAAAGAGTAACTCTTTAATCTGAAACCTAACAGTAGACTAACTGTAAAAAAACTGTGTACACTGTTTTCTTATTTCAGTACACTGGGTACATCATTTTCATATTTCAGTAAACTGTGTGCACTGTTTTCTTATTTCAGTAAACTGTGTACACTGTTTTCTTATTTCAGTAAACCGTGTACACTGTTTTCTTATTTCAGTAAACTGGTACACTGTTTTCTTATTTCAGTAAACTGTGTACACTGTTTTCTTATTGCAGTAAACTGTGTACACTGTTTTCTTATTGCAGTAAACTGTGTACACTGTTTTCTTATTGCAGTAAACTGTTATTTGCTATTTATAAATTATTGTTATTCAATTGACCTTGTCTTGTACTTTCTAAAGTTATAATTAGTTAACTGAAACATCTTATAGGAGAATGGACGTGTCACAAAGCTCGTTAATACCTTTTCCCTGGTTTTTTCTTTTCCTAAAGCATATAAACCATCTTGACGTTCTCTCAAGTTTAAGTGAAATACACGACCAGTGTAGAGTATGGTCAATGTGTAAGGGTTAGCTTGTCCAGCTCGGCGGCTTGGTCTGACGAGATAGAAGCCATCACCTCCTTGTTTCTGTAGCAACTTTTCTGCTTTGTCTCTCTCTATATCATGATACCATGGATACAGAAGTAATGGGTCCTATAATTGGATGGTTAAAATAAACAAGTTTATATAACAACAACAGCGGATTTTGTAGTTAGTAAAAAAATCAAAACCGTACCTATTTCTAATAACTTCATTAAAAGATACTTTATGCAAGGATTAAAATAGTAAAAAAGTCTGCATTCAAACAAAGAAAAATTCCCCATCACTATCCACTGTTTAACAATCTCAATCATCTAGGTACAGCTTGACTAATGAGAGCAGACAGATTTTTGAAACTGTAGTTCTGAGCTGCGAATCGCATCAACTTTATAACCTACTCTAAGCTATTATGTATTTAACCTAATTTGTGTTGTTTTTTAAGGTACAGCTTGACTAATGAGAGCAGACAGTTTTCGTAACTGTAGTTCTGAGCTGAGAATTGCATCGACTTTATAACCTACTCTAAGCTATTATGTACTTAACCTAATTTGTGTTGTTTTTTTAATTCTGTTCACTATTATTCTCTTGAATTAATGTATATATCCACATAGGATTGTCAACTGTCTGTAAGTATACGTATACAGCCATTAAAATGTTACAATTTAACAATGTTCGTAGATCCTATAAATAGCAAAAAGTTGTCTTAACGATGTTAGTAAAAAAATACAGTATCGGTGAAAAAAAGGCCACTGTCTACGTGTGTATACGTAGGGTTAGTAACCCCGATACTCTCCCCCTCCCGCCCCACAGAGTTATACAAGAAAAACATTGATAATCAAACCTGATCCTTTCTTGAATCCTGGTAGGGCTGGGGTACTGTGGGAACCGGAGGGAGTGGTCTGCTAGCAGCATTTGTTCCTGTACAATACATAAAAAAATTGGTCCCTTTCATAAAGAATATCACTGAGTCAAAAAAAGTGCCATTATTTTAGTAACTGCTGTAACGTTTTTAAGTTATTCTCTTCAGTGATTTGTCAGCATTTTTGGTTTCCAAAGATTACAAGAATCATCTTTGTTTGTTATTAGGCTACAGTTTTTATTTCTACTGTTGCTGTAATATAGTAAACTAATTCTGAAACTTCGACAAGCTTGTTTCATTTATATTTTTAACTATAAAAATTAAAGTCATACCTGTCTCTTCCATGAAGAATTGTGCATTATATTTTGGAAATGATACAGATGTTACTGTTTTTACAGGGAGCTGAGGTCCTTGAACACTTGAGATGAATTCTGAAGAATCATTAGGAAAGAATAATAATAACTAAACAAGTTGAATCCTGCTTTAAACAAATCAAGTAATTTCTATGATTACAAAAGAAAAAGTGTAATATTTTTGGAAGAGAGATGAAAGTAAAAATATAGAAACAAAGTAAGCTTTAGAATTTCCACAGGAGAACAAGCTGAGATAATCCATAATTTTATTTCCATCAAGGCGATATTTTTTAACCATTATCGCAGTATCATCTGTGAGAGAATACTGAGCGAGTAGAATCTCTCACAAGACTTGTTTGGCTGCCAGTAACTTTCTTGAAAAAAAAAAAAACTTTCTGCAGCCCACACGCTGTGTACAAGCTAGATGGCTACCATAGGAAATTTTGATTGAAAATTCTAAGGTGATGGGAAGTTTCAGAAAAAAATATTGCCCTGATTTTCATTACCACAGGAAAGAAAAGATACTGAGTAAAGAGTTATACTTGGAAGAAAACAAGTCCATGTTTAGCTTCTCTCACGTTACATTAATGGTGTCCATGTTTATTTAGCTTTTAGTAGTTATGAACAGAAACCATTAATTGTTCCAATATTCGGAAGAAAAGGCTATAGAAGGAGACTATTCATAATGTTTTCTCTATAATGAAAGGCTTAGTTCCCACTGTTGTGAAATTCACCCTAATTTTTGGACACATTACATATAGTAATAGATATTCTTTGTGGAATTGTATCTCATCTTTTCCTATTTTTTTAGAATACTTATTATTTTATAAAGTACTTTAATGAACAAAAATTAATTTTTTTTTCGTGATTTTACCAGTTTTTTCTGGAGTTGCTGCTCGAGATGAGTAACTGCCTGTTGTGGATGTAGAATCACCACTGCTGCTGCTGCTTTGATCTCGTGAGGTTTTGCGGAGGCTACGATTGGTTAGAACAGATGAGAGAAGTCCACTTATTGTTCCAGTCACAGATGTTTGTGACTGTTCTTCGCTTGACTTAAGACTGTCCTTACCTCTCGGTAGCTTCGGTCTATCGAGATCAACATGGGGATCTGAAATATTGTGCGAGATTTGGATATCTTGATATTTCTTCACTTTATCTGGTAGAGGTGGTCTATCTGACGAAGATGAGGCAAGTGATGACGAAGATCCTGACCATCTGTTTTCTAGAGACAATATACCAAGTTTATTTTATAAATAATATTGGCATTTTCCACCAAAGAAACATGAAATAATCAAGTTAGAAAAAAAAAATACAGTAGATGCAACTTTATCGTATTTAATGACTTACGCACTTTTTTAGAAAATAAACAACTGATTTATGGTACGAAAAAATACCAGAATTAAACAGTTATATACTTCTGAAGAAAACAGAGCTCTTCATAAGTTTAATAAACTAAGGACTGGTCAGTAAGAAGTACAAAATTGAATACTTGGCTCCATCTGTGTTAATTTTCAGTATTGGTACTCCTTCAACAAAATTTCAGCAAAATAAAAGAAAGTACGATTATTCATTGATTAATAATAAATAAAAGTTATTTATTATTTAGAAACTGTAATACTTAATATCCTTCACTGGGTTTGCATCCATCTAAGAATAAACTTTCTTAGTTAGGCAATACATAAAATAATCTAATGATACCAGAAAGTTATTAAAAACATCACTTAAGTTTACCCAAGATATCTGCATTTAGGTGACGATCGATAAAAGTTTGTAAGTTTTGATAAAGAGATGATTTAATTCTAGCCTTAGTTTTCATCACAGAGCTGTTATGTGCAGCAAGTCCTTGTGGGCTTTGTAGGTAACCCATAGAGAAGTGTGATATTCTAGGTTTTAAAATTAAGTAATAGTTTTTATTGTTCATCAGAAACAAATTCTTTTATTACGAACGTGTACCAGTGGAAAATGTCATTCAATAAGAAAAATATTTGTTAAAGAAATGTCTTAAAAATTACATTAATTATATACTGACATACGGTGAGTGTTGATTTGTGATCTTAGACTTAATTAAGTAAGGAAATGGATTTTCATGTATCTCACGGAAAAAATCTAGGTAAGGGTACATTTCACTTTTGACTGAAAATACGTTATTCAATGCATACCTTCTACTACCACTACTTCATAATTTTCTTCTTCACCCTAAAAAACAAAGGAAATTAAAGTAACATTAAAATGGGAAGAAACAAAATGACAGTTGCACAAGTTTGTTATATATATATATATATATCTTACAAAAACCTACAATTAATATTCACAATAATACAATTATAGATTAAATAAATACACATGACCAAATGATTATTCTAAAGTAACATAGTGATGACTAAAAGAAACTGAATACTCATCTTGAGAGGATAATGAAACATAATTAGGATTAATTAAAACTTCAACAAGAAAGACTTGTGAACAATCAAGTGGGTGAAAAAGTAACAGTTTGTTTGTTTTGAATTTTGCGAAAAGCTACACGAGGGCTATCTGCACTAGCCGTCCCTAATTTAGCAGTGAAAGACTAGAGGGAAGGCAGCTAGTCATCACCACCCACTGCCAACTCTTGGGTTACGCTTTTACCAACGAATAGTGGGATTGACCGTCACATTATAATGCCCCCACGGCTGAAAGGGTGAGCATGTTTGGTGGGACGGGGATTCGAACCCGCGACCCACGGATTGCGAGTCGAGCTCCCTAAACACCCGGGCCCGATAGTTAAGTGATCCCCACATGCAACAATAATTTGTTCAAACACCAAATAAAAAACCTTACCTTCTCAATTGTTTCATAGGTATCTGTAAAAAAGAAAAATAAACTTATAATTTGTTTCAGAGATTTTCACATGATAATACTATGTTCTAATCTAATGCCATGTAATGGGGAAACATTAGTGAGATAGAGACATCTTTCACCTCTTTCCTTGCACGCGGTGATAACTTCCCGAATTTCTCTTCTACCCGCTGCTATCGTGGGCTAAATATATGTGACTGTAACCTAACCAGTTTTTACAGTTTTATTTTCAACATAAATAGCGATTCCCATTAACTACTGTTGGTAATCCACAGAAAGTAGTTTTTAAAATTAAACATAAGATCGTTTAAAATACACAATAAAATTTTATTTCGCCGACTGCTAAAATGAAAAGATTCTACATGTTTTAGTAGCTTTGCGCTACCATCACCAGGAGTAAAAACCTACATGACAAGTTGGTTAGTTTTATAGAGTGTGGTATGTAAATTATCAGTTTTAATTATACTTCTTATGTAAACTATTCATACCACCCTCACATATTACAAGGAGTTAAACCTTTTCTGTATAAAACTACCCACTTGTCATGTAGGTCTTCACTCCTGATGATGGTAGCGCAGATATATCGAAACATGTATAGTTTTTTGTATAAACTTAACCACTTGTCAAGTAGGTTTTCACTCCTGATGATGGTAGCGCAGATATATCGAAACATGTATAGTTTTTTGTATAAACTTAACCACTTGTCAAGTAGGTTTTCACTCCTGATGATGGTAGCTCAGATATACCGAAACATGTATAATTTTTGTATAAACCTACCCACTTGTCATGTATGTTTTTACTCCTGATGATGGTAGCTCAGATATACCAAAACATGTATAGTTTTTGTATAAAACTACCCACTTGTCATGTAGGTTTTTACTCTTTTTTACTCCTAATGATGGTAGCGCAGATATACCAAAACATGTATAGTTTTTGTATAAAACTACCCACTTGTCACGTTGGTTTTTACTTTTTTTACTCCTGATGATGGTAGCTCAGATATACCGAAACATGTATAGTTTTTGTATAAAACTACCTACTTGTCATGTAGGTTTTTACTCTTTTTACTCCTGATGATGGTAGCGCAGATATACCAAAACATGTATAGTCTTTGAATTTTGGCTCTTGGTTAAATTTTATTGTGCATTTGAAACATTAAACATTGATCTTATTTCTGTTTTAAAACTTATAGCACAAGTTGCAGTAATTCAAACATAATAAAGAATGTCTGTAAAATAGATACGAAACTAAAGTTATGAAATTCATTCATTCTTCGCATACTTATAATGTCTAAAAATATTTCTAAGAACCAAACTTGAAAGCAACAAATGACAACTGATGTTGGAACAATAATATAAAAGTACTTGTACTGGTATTGAATTAAAACTTGAAATTAATTATGCTGAAGATTATAATGAAACAAATTAATTTAGCTAATTAACATCTATCAGCACATTTGTAAGGGTGTGGGAACTAGAGGTGCTGAGAGTGCAGTAGCACCCCACTAAAATTACTAAATATAGAAGCTAAGAACGTTCTTTTTGTACAAAAATTGTAAGATAGCTAATTCTATTTTTATTTCATTATGGTAATGTTTATTTGTTATTCCTTCTTTATTTTAGTTTAGATATGAATTTTTAATTACATTTAGTTTCATTTTTGACTTCTGTGGTTGTCATAGTTTAATAAGTTCGTTTTTTGTGTTTTAGTATGTTACATCTCTTACCTCCTTGGATTTCGTTATCTTCAGTTACACCAGGAACTGGAGAGAGAAGAGTAATGGAGGACTGAGATGTGGCCACCACTGCTTCAACTTGGCCAGGATGTGTGCCCAATACTGTAATAATGGTTGGAGGATTATTCCCACAGATTGGGATTTCATAATCTTCCTGCACTTCATCTTCCAGAGGTGACAGTAGCGGAGGCTAAGAATAAAAAAAATATGGAACTTGCCAGCTTTATTAATCATCAATCAGTTCTTCAAAATTTTTAAATTTAAATGTGATGATCCTTTAAAAGTTTAGGCTTAAAGGTTCATGCAACTTGTGTCGTGAACACTTTCAAAGAAAGGTACAAGTAACAAAACAAAATCAAAAACATAACTTAGAATTCTTTACTAAATAGTCGGACTGACTGACATGCTTATAATGCTCTTTTTTTGTGTGTTCAGTGACATATTTGTGGCTTGAGCCTTGGACCTTTTGTTCTGCAGCTTGGCATGCTAATCCTAGACCAGCCTGACCCATGTCATTTATCGTTTTCCATTTAGTAACTGGAGGTAATGTGTTAAAATTTAAATTCTACTTCTATTGTCTATTAATCATTTTCCAAGATGGAGTCAATCATATCTAGGTTAGATATTTATTATAACACGGTAAACTATACAGAAATGGAAAGTTTACTCACATCACAGAAGGGTAGAGGGGGTGGAGGAGGTTCACTGGGTGGCCTTTGGTATGGTGGAGGTCCTCTACTCAGTACTGATTTCAGGTTTTGGTTCTTTCTGTAAATGGGATTGCAAACACCTTAATAAAAGTTATTAAAGACATACACATTATGCAATTACATTCAGGACACAAAGAAATTTCTTGTTTATTAAAGTTTGTTTTCTCGAAAAATATAGAGGAAATTGTGGTTTCGTAAACCAAACTAATATTTCAAACCTTTTCTAGTTGATGAGACTCCATAATGACAGAATTGATGAAAACAAAGACAATTGTACATTTCACATTTATTAGAACATGATGATCCCTTTCCTGGCAAAACTATGGTTCTCTTTTTTTTCCCTCATTTACAAACTATAGAGTAAAATATATGTGTATATATAAATAATTTATAAACATGAATTTCTATTCCTATCTGTAAAAGTTTGATAAAGAAATCCACGACTTTGTGTGTGTGTGATGTAAAGATTTTACTATGTAGGATCTAATAATGCTAATAATAAAGACTGAATTATATATATAAAAAGATGATACAAATTTGTTATGTTTTGCCGATCGTTATTGGATTATAATTGTAATATTGTGGATATGATATTTAAAATGTTGCGACAATATTTTTCGTTAGAAGTATAGGGTGACAATGAAAATAAGGTTTTTTACAGGTTTCATCAAGAGGCCCGTGTATATCAAATGATGACATGGTATCTACAATATTATTTCAAAACTCCAAAGCAAATTAAACTTATTTACTAAGAAATTTAAACAAATTAAAAAACACTACAATTCAAACAAGAATTGTGAAAATATAAAATTATCACAGCATTAAGTTAACCTATAATAACTTTCAACAAATTCAACATAAACTTTGCTGTCAGTAATAGAATGTAAATTAAATCACTCAAGTAGAACTTACAATGACGATTTTGAGTTGAAAGGTTTAGGACTGACTGGTGTTTCCGGAGGCCTTGGTATCTTCCGCTTTGACGATGGAGTTGGAGCGTGTTCTTCACTGACTGATGATGATGACGATGATGCTTCTTGTAACAGGAAAAATAATTTAGGAAAGAGTGAAAGAATAACTCAGGATTTTCGGAGATAGAAAGAAGAAAATTTACTTCAGGTATTATTATTATTATCAACACATCTCTCACTAAAAGAAATAGTGCCTCACATTTTTAGATAATAAGAAAAAGGAGCAAGTTTCTTTTAGATATTAATTATATTTCATTGAGTTAAAGAGGATTCATCTTACCAAAATGCAAAAATTACTGACCCTTACATGTAAAACACGTGAACTTGGCCTTTAGATAACCTCAAGCACAATTTATATAACACACTTGGTGACCTAATGCCACTTCATTGCTCAATTGCTGATCAAAGTAACAGTTTTTTGGTATATTTTATTCTTTAGAAGGTTATGTTACAGACCCGACTGGTTGGGTGTAACCTTCGTAACAGTTATTTGGTATATTTTGTTCTTTAAAAGGTTATGTGACAGACCCGACTGGTTGGTTGTAAACTTCGTGTCAATTATTTGGTATATTTTGTTCTTTAGAAGGTTATGTGACAGACCCGACTGGTTGGGTGTAAACTTCGTGTCAATTATTTGGTATATTTTGTTCTTTAGAAGGCTATGTGACAGACCCGACTGGTTGGGTGTAAACTTCATGTTAATTATTTGGTATATTTTGTTCTTTTGAAGGTTATGTGACAGACCAGACTGGTTGGTTGTAAACTTCATGGCAGTTATTTGGTATATTTTGTTCTTTAGAAGGTTATGTGACAGACACGACTGGTTGGTTGTAAACTTCATGGCAGTTGTTTGGTATATTTTGTTCTTTAGAAGGTTATGTGACAGACACGACTGGTTGGTTGTAAACTTCATGGCAGTTGTTTGGTATATTTTGTTCTTTAGAAGGTTATGTGACAGACACGACTGGTTGGTTGTAAACTTCATGTCAATTATTTGGTATATTTTGTTCTTTAGAAGGTTATGTGACCAGACCCAACTGGTTGGTTGTAAACTTCATGGCAGTTATTTGGTATATTTTGTTCTTTAGAAGGTTATGTGACAGACACGACTGGTTGGTTGTAAACTTCATGGCAGTTGTTTGGTATATTTTGTTCTTTAGAAGGTTGTGTGACAGACACGACTGGTTGTTTGTAAACTTCATGGCAGTTGTTTGGTATATTTTGTTCTTTAGAAGGTTGTGTGACAGACACGACTGGTTGTTTGTAAACTTCATGTCAATTATTTGGTATATTTTGTTCTTTAGAAGGTTATGTGATAGACCAGACTGGTTGGTTGTAAACTTCATGTCAATTATTTGGTATATTTTGTTCTTTAGAAGGTTATGTGACAGACCCGACTAGTTGGTTGTAAACTTCGTGTCAATTATTTGGTATATTTTATTCTTTAGAAGGTTATGTTACAGACCCGACTGGTTGGGTGTAACCTTCGTAACAGTTATTTGGTATATTTTGTTCTTTAAAAGGTTATGTGACAGACCCGACTGGTTGGTTGTAAACTTCATGGCAGTTATTTTGTATATTTTGTTCTTTAAAAGGTTATGTGACAGACACGACTGGTTGGTTGTAAACTTCATGGCAGTTGTTTGGTATATTTTGTTCTTTAGAAGGTTATGTGACAGACCCGACTGGTTAGTTGTAAACTTCATGGCAGTTGTTTGGTATATTTTGTTCTTTAGAAGGTAACTCTTTTTTTATCAATGTAAGTGACAAACCTATATTTAAACTATAAACTTACCTAAATTTACATCAGAGATACTCATCGAAGAAGAACTTTCTTCGTGATCAGATACTTGGCTAAATGGTTCAGAATACCCTGACACATCACTGTCAACTAGTTGTTCAAATCAAACAAATATTTACCTCAAATTACTACCAAGAGAGAAAAAAAATATAGAACAGTTCTCTTAACTCAAATATTGTACTTGTTAGCTAAAGTTTACATTATAAATGACATACGTTTTTTACATATGAAAGGGTGTGACAGATGTCAGCTCAATTACTACAAAAACAGAAGTCTTAGTTGTTTGTAAATTAAAAAAAACACCACTTATAAGTGGAAACAATTGTTTTGTGTGTTTTTCTTATAGCAAAGCCACATCGGGTTATCTGCTGTGTCCACCAAGGGGAATTGAACCCCTGATTTTAGCATTGTAAATCGGGAGACTTACTGCTGTCCCAAGGGAACTCAATAGGTAGGTCCTAACCAGGGAATAAGATGCATATAAGGGACAAGACAAATAAGCATTACAGATCAAACAGTTGTAACTAATAATGAGTGTGTGTGTGTAACAATCTTACCGTCTGATACGCAGGAGATAATTCTTGATAACTAAAAGTTTCTACATTTTATTTGTTGTTAAGCAAAAGCTACACAATGGGCCATCCGTACTGTGCCCATCTCGAGTATAAAAACCCAGTTTTTAGAGTTATAAGCCTTAGTTGAGCCACTGGGGCCCTGTCTATGTCTATAATTGAAAACATCTCTGAAAAATCAAACATTAGGTGTGACATCCAATATCATTAAAATGCACCATTTTCGGTGAAATTTAAGAACTTTTCTTTCAAGGTGGTATGCCCCCGAACTCACAAATATGACTTTACTTTCTCCTCCTATATTAGCAGTCCCCTTTATAGATTTCTGCCTATGTCCCTGTTAGTTAATAATTTGTTTTGATACTAAATACCAAGACATCTGCACTTCATTTTAGAAATATCCTGAAATTCTGACTAGTGTAAACATAGAACAAATGACTTTAACCTTTTATCATCTCCACCCCTATATTTATACATGCTATACATAATATCCACCCATATATTTACACATGCTATACATCATCTCCACTCAAATATTTATACAAGCTATATATAATCTCCACCCCTATATTTATACATATTCCATTATATTCTATTACAGAACAAAACTAACAAAGAAAAACAGTTTTGTCATATTCTATTATAGAACAAAACTAACAAAGAAAAACAGTTTTGTCATATTCTATCATAGAACAAAACTAACAAAGAAAAACAGTTTTGTCATATTCTATTATAGAACAAAACTAACAAAGAAAAACAGTTTTGTCATATTCTATTATAGAACAAAACTAACAAAGAAAAACAGTTTTGTCATATTCTATTATAGAACAAAACTAACAAAGAAAAACAGTTTTGTCATATTCTATTATAGAACAAAACTAACAAAGAAAAACAGTTTTACCTGATATAAGTTTTCTTTCTCTAATATAGTCGACTCCATTGGTGAGTGAAATACTAATTACAGTTTTATTTCCACTTATATCCTGAAAGATCCAGAAGGTTCGTTAGTTTCGTGACACCAACTGCTGTTCAAATATCAGTTTTACAAATCACAAACGATACATTATTTTGCACAAAAGGCTTAATTTTACGTTCTTTTCATTCACTAAAACTACACTAGAAATACCAGATTACAGCCGAGTAGATCGTGAAAAAAAAAATATTTAGTTTATTTCCTATCAACTATGAGATGTCCGTGTATTCTAGTTAATCTAACACTGAAAACCAAGGGATTTCCCTAGACATGATATTTCTGATATTTAATTTTATGGGAACAGCTAACTTCTAGGTAAATCAGTAGTTAATTTGGTACCTGGGGTACAAATCTGCCCCCCCTACTTCCTCACTATGCCACTGTTAGAAACACTATTGACAATAAAATCTATAGTCATCTGGGATACAATACAAACATCTCGAACCTTTGATCACCGATTACTACGAATATTTAAGAATACAAACACAATGTATACCTAAACTTTGGTCATGCTGAAACTTCACTTACCATGGTTACCTAGTCTCAAATGTCACGGACATACAGTATTTGATTGTTATCAACATGCTTGTTTTAGTACTTGTGAAAGATTCCATAAACATGGAAATAATTCCTTACGGTAAGGACAACAAACTAAACAAGAAAACGTATTGATGCTCTAAGAGATGATATTGTTGCCATACCTGCAGTTTAGTTATTGTTGATGGCTCCGAGGTTTCAGATCCTGAAAGTAAAACAAAATTTTATAGATTATATTTTAATATTGAAAATCTGTAACGGAGATAAATCACGAGCATTTAAATCTACACATATACCAATCTGAATTCATCTTACGGTGAAGAAGACGAACTTCAGAAAAGTGCAGTCTTGAGATGTACCGATTCATCAAGAAGTCAAAGTGTGTTCAGCCAAATAAATGTTGATAACGGTGGTTGACAACCTAAACTAATCTAAGGACCACTTACTTGTGGTCCTCAAATACTTCTATGAGGGGAGCAAAACCCCTTTCACAGGTCATAAGTAAAAAATTATACATTTAAATAAAAACGTTGCCCAACATTTTGACTACGACCAGTATGTTGCAAGTCCTCCTTAACCTATTGTTCAACTACTATATATAATTCTCACTTTCTTAAAAGGGTGTGCATGTGTAGGATGGGTGGGTGAAGTGTGGAAAACAACACACAATTCATTCTTTATCTTTGGAAATAAAATAAAAGAGGTTTTTGCATTTATTGGACAGAAGCAGTGGTTTGAAAATCTTTGTTTTACCACTTAATGAATTTTCAAGAAATAATTACTTGACTGGGTAAACTTTTGTAATATATTTTATTTGTTTGTTTTAGCACAAAGCTATGCAATGAGCTACATGCACTCTGTCTGTCTGTCGCAGGAAATCAAACACCGAATTTTAGACTTGCAAGACTGTAGACTCTTTGGAGGACTATGCAACATGGTTAGTTCGACCGAGGAATTGGCAATAATTACCACATTTATCAAGATTGTAACTGAGATCTGTATAATGCTCAATTTTTCATTTTAATTAATAAAAACGCTTGTTAACAGTGGACAAAGCAAATTAAATATCACCAGTGAAAACATTAATGCATTTATTGGAACCATGACTAAATAGAGAAACAATTATGTTTTGTTTGATAATGATCACGGAACACAAAAACACATTTACTATTGTATGAACAAGAAATGATTGAGTGTGTGTATATAAACTCAAATGTTATGATATGGCCCGGCATGGCAAGGTGGTTAGAGCGCTCGACTCGCAACCTGCGGGTTCGAATCCCCGTCACACCGAAACATGCTCACCCGGTGTTTGAACTAGGATGCCAGTCCTACTCTCGGATACGAAACTCAAATGTTCTGTTATGTTATGATAAAAAAAACATTTTCTGTACAGTTCTTTAGTTAGTTGAATAGGATAAGATGTAGACTCAGTTCAATTTACCTGTTGTTGTTAAACTGAACGTTGACATGGTTGGATTATATACAACTTGGTCAGCTACTTCCTAGAGTAAAAAAAAAAAACATTTTTTAGTAACAATGAGAATCTGGTTAAAATTTTAGATGTGAAACATGTAGTATACAAACAAGCTTACAATCTGTTACTGATACATGAGGCTTGAGACTGGGACTGAATTTTATTATAAACCGAGATATAACATTCTGTAACTTAATACCTCTCTCTTCTTGTCACAGTACAAAATAAAACTACACTTAAGAACCAAATAACAACAACTGAATTTTCTCCGACACAGAAACTTTTCCTCATCATATATTTCCAAAAGCATTTCCATTCATGCTATGCCTTCACAAGAAATTTAAAATGGCTGAAAATAATGAAATCTAAAAAATTGGTGCTCGACTTGGTTGGTAATTAAAAAGTTAAGGAAGAAAGATAACTTGTAAAGTATAGGTTTAAAAGTTTGTTATCCGATTTTTTTGAAATGTTATTCCTAAATGGAATAACTAAATATATTATTTATAAGAAAATAGCCAAAGTAAGTACAATCTCATGTTCTTAGATTACGAGTACAGGAAGAAAGTTTTTATATACACTCATTTGAAAATTCTCAAAACTTGGTAGCTATTTACAATAAAGAAATAAAGAAATAACCATTATTATTATATAATTAAAACTAATTAGAATAATCTTTCACCTAACCTCATCATCATCAAAGTCGGTATCCCAGCCATCACTTTCCCACTCGTCTGACGGATCCACTGAAAAACAAGGATATATTATAAAGGACTTATATGCAAGTACTAATTTTTAACAATGCTATTGCATTATACAGTTACATATCATGTGAACTTCTGAATGTTTATGACATGACTGTAGTGATTTTGAAATTCTTTATGGCTGTTTTTTTTTATTTTTGTGAAAATTACACATGCACGTGCTTACCATGAGTGTTATGAAGTCCGGTTTTATTCCTGGTCTCTTGGGTTTTCAAACTACCTGAAAGTCTGGTGGAAAAAAAGTCTGTCATTAAGAAAAATCCCAAAACTTTGAAAAGTCAGAATGTAATTAGTTCTAATTGATGAATATTACTTTGACAAGGCAGAATGATAGAATGTAATTAGTTCTAATTGTTGAATATCACTTTGAGAAGGCAGAATGTTAAAATGTAGTTAGTTTTAATTGTTGAATATCACTTTGAGAAGGCAGAATGTTAGAACATAATTAGTTCTAATTGTTGAATATCACTTTGAGAAGGCAGAATGTTAGAATGTAGTTAGTTTTAATTGTTGAATATCACTTTGAGAAGGCAGAATATAATTAGTTCTAATTGTTGAATATCACTTTGAGAAGGCAGTATGATAGAACATAATTAGTTCTAATTGTTGAATATCACTTTGAGAAGGCAGTATGATAGAACATAATTAGTTCTAATTGTTGAATATCACTTTGAGAAGGCAGTATGATAGAACATAATTAGTTCTAATTGTTGAATATTACTTTGAGAAGGCAGAATGTTAGAACATAATTAGTTCTAATTGTTGAATATTACTTTGAGAAGGCAGAATATCAGAATGTAATTAGTGATAATTATTGAACATCCGTTAACTGTTGCTATTTTTTCAACAGAAAACTAGAATGATTAATTTTTTGCCCCCTTAATATTCAAATTAAGGTTTTCAAACTTAGCTCTGCTGTTCACTTGAGGCATTAAGGGTAATGTAGCAGAAATGACATTTCTCATTTAACTCACTCTTTTAACGTTACTGATCATTAATGAGAAAATTAGACATGAACTCAAACGACAACTTGATGTCAACAACATGAAGCTAAATCCTTCAACGGTAATAGGTTAATCTGTTGTTCCATAAAGACCACGTAGAACAGACCCAACAGAAGAGCCTTATTTCAAATCTAGACAAACTTACAGAAAACTTACCTTATTGCTTCGTAACACTTCATACATCTAAAGTTTTATTAATTAATGCCCATTTACCTTTTGCTACTTGAAGCTTGGTTCTTGCATTCATTCACGCATTTTGAGAGTTGCCTGGAAACGAGATAAGGATACATGAGAGTTCTCACATATACTTAATAGAGTATCAGGAAGGAAACAAACTCAAACTGCAGGAATTTTAAAATAATTTTCATATTAATTGATGTGACTATTGCGCATGTGTGCAGTAAGCTGGGGTGAAGAAATAAAGAGCGAGTTGTAAATTATCTTATATATATTGGTCCACCACTCTGGAGTACTGGTACTGTCCAGGGGATACCACTTTCTCTCTTTTCTTGTCTCTCATTCTGGTATTTTATCTTTTAAGCATCAGGAGGGTCTATACAACTATGTTGTAAGGAATCATTAATCTGACTCATACCAAGTAAGAACACACATCGTATTTTATCCTAACCTAAACACATCATATTTTATCCTAACCTAAACACTTCATATTTTATCCTTACCTAAACACATCATATTTTATCTTTACCTAAGCACATCATATTTTATCTTTACCTAAACACATCATATTTTATCCTTACCTAAACACATCATATTTTATCTTTACCTAAACACATCATATTTTATCCTTACCTAAACACATCATATTTTATCCTTACCTAAACACTTCATATTTTATCCTAACCTAAACACATCATATTTTATCCTAACCTAAACACATCATATTTTATCCTAACCTAAACACATCATATTTTA